CTGACCTCGCAGGGTTGTTGAAGGGAGAAGATAAGCACAGGGACTGGGTCTGGATGCGGTCAGAGGCGTCTCTGCCTCAGCTGGGGTCACCACGCCTCTGGGAGGCCACACTCCAGACAGCCATTGCACTTGAGGCTCCAGAATCCAAGGTCCCCCTCAGGCCTGGCACCCGGGGGTGCCAGCAAATAGAAGCCTCTTCCTTTTACCTTTGTCTTCAGAGCTAACTTAGGAGCTAGATGCAGTGGGTAGGGCATTTGCCTTGCATGCAACTGATCCACTCATTCTTACTTTGGACAAAATGGCAGGTTACCGAATATAACCTGCCCACACGGTGGAGTCTGGCAAACTCCCCGTGGTGTACCCAATATGCCAAATGCCAGTAACAATGATGGGTCTCATTTTCCTAACCCTGAAAGAGCCTTTAATATGGCACTTTTTAAAAAATCTCAGGGCTAGGACGAAAGAGACGTTACTGGGGCCTGCTCGAGGCAATCGACGAACAACAGGATGGCCGTGGTCGTGGTCACCACTGATCCAGGTTTGATCCTCAGCATCCCCTAAGGTTCCCGAGCACGCCAGGAGTAATTTCTGAGTGCAGAGCTAGGAGTAAGCCCTGAACATCTCCAGGTGTGACCCAAAAAAGGCAAAAAGAAAGAAAGAAAGAAAGAAAGAAAGAAAGAAGGAAGGAAGGAAGGAAGGAAAGAAAGAAAGAAAGAAAGAAAGAAAGAAAGAAAGAAAGAAAGAAAGAAAATACACAGGGGCCAGGTATGTGGTTCATGGGGTACAGCACATGCCTTGCCGGGGTGAGGCCCTGCGTGTAGTCCCTGACACCAACACCATCTGGTCCCCGAGCATCACAGCAAGGTGGCTTTAGTGTCCTCTGAGATCAGAACATCCAGCAATTTGCAAACCCTGCCCCCTTTCCCCACTACTGCCCGTGGCCCCTGCCCTCTCTCACCAGCCGTGTTGGGTATGACAAGCTTTTGTTCCCAGTCACGGCTGCTTCTACCTTTGCTTGGGCCCTGGCTGCTCGCTCTGCTGAGTCGGCCCAATCAGATGCTGCTTCAGGACCTGGGAAATGGGGATTGAGGCAGGTGGTGGAGGAGGAGGGAGGCAGGCGATTGTGATGGCCACAGTGGAGCTGAGCCATGACAGAGACAGGTGGCCTATGTGGCCCCCGGGACACAGAGACCCAGAGCCACCCTCTGCCTCCAGTTCTTAGGGAGCCCAGGGACACCGTGTCTCCTTGCCTTGCGTTCCCATGAGATGCCCACATGGACACAGGCCTGCCTTTGATCTGGAGCTAGTCTGAGAGCGCCCTGTGGGGCCCCAAACCAGGAGGACCCTGATTTGCTTCCTCCCAGCACCTGGGGGTGATACCTTCCTACCTTTACCCATGCCTCCCCTCTGGGAGGTTTCGTTGGATGCAACATTGTGGGCCGAGTGGACCCCTGCACCTCCCTCCCCCCTAGGGTCTCATGTTGGCCTTTAGGAGAGGCAGCTCCCGGCCCCGCCGCACCCTCCTGTCCAGGCGCGCCTCTGGTCCTTGCCAGAGTCTGTCCTGCTTGAGACCCAGCACAGGCTCTGTTTCCTAAAGCCCTGGGAGGCTTTTGTTGCCAGCCTGGCGTCTGCTGTCCAAACCCACACGCGGGCCTGCAGGCTTGGAGTGTTTGCTTTATTATTGAGTTCTGAGTTTCCCGGCAGCGAGACCAGCAGAGATGAGCAAGGACAGGGTGAGGAGGGAGACAAATTCACCAGGGCAGAGGCAAGAGCAGAGGGAGGGTCTGGATGCCAGAATCTCTTCAGGATGGTTGTCTGCTCCTTCCCTCCATGCTGGCCTTGAAAGGGTGTCCCCGTGTTCCAGTTTTGTTTGTCTCAGGGCCACGCTCGGCTGTGCTTGGGATCATGGGGTGCTGGGCTCCGGCATGTGGCCATGGACTTAGCCCTTCGATCCTTCTTCCCAGCCCTAGCCTGGGGCTTGGGGGTTGTCCGCAGGCCCTGGGTGCTGGTTCTGGCTTTGCAGGGCAGCTCCAGGCTGGTGTCTCTCAAGGCCACGTATTTGGGAGGGTTAAGTCCAGCGCTCACTGGCTTCCAGGGGTGAATTTGCTCTCTCCGCGTGGACTTCAGAAAAAGGTCCTGGGGGGAGAGGGAGCAGAGCGAGTGGGAGTGGGTCTTGTGGGTGCACCTTTGGCCCAGAGCAGGGCCTCAATTTTGGAAACACGCCCCCTCATACCCCCTCCCCTCCTCCCCCTGCCAACAGCACAAGTTGGGAGACTCTTGGGGGCAAGCCCCATGTAGCTAACCACCAACCAGGGACACGGCACACAGGAGGCCAAGCACAGCAGAGGGGCGCCTGGCTTGAGGGAGGAAAGCACCAGAAGGCACAGGGCTGGGGCACTCCCCAAGAGACAGTGCTCACTGATGCAAGGATGGGGCTACGCGGAGCAGCCGGAGGAGGCAGGAGGCTCGGAGGGACCCAGAAACTTGGAATGGCAAAGTCAACCAGCCAGGCTTGGATCTGCCCCCAGGATGCCAATGGTAGACTGAGGCCACACCAAGTCCAGCCTGCTGCGCTGTCTTTCCCATAGAGAAAGCCCCAGCCCAGGTTGGGAACCGCCTCCACAGTGCCCCCCAGTGGAAGCCGAGGGAGAGAGAAGGCACAAAGCAGAGGGTGGTCTGAGCAAAGCCCCCCACCCCCGGACAGGTCAGCACAGGACATGAACGCGGACAAGTCAACCCTGGTTCTTTGGACCGGCTTGGAAGATTCCTGGTCGCCCTGGCCCTGCCAAGCCTGGGGCTCCCGGTTGCGGGGAGAGGCACTAAGTTTAGTGGAGAAGGTCTGGGGTGTGGGGAGTGGGGGAAATTCAGGCCCAGCTTTGCAGCTCTCTTTGTGCAGCTAAGTAGAGAGAGGGGCTCACTGGGTGCTGCGGGGGATTTGTGGCCAGGTCTGTGGGCTGCGAACAGTCAGCATGCTTGGTCCCAATTCCACTGCCAACTGAACTCGGCTGAGTGGGATGCTTCACAGATGATGCCCCTCGAACCCCCCAGGTGTCAGTCCAAAGAACCTGCCGAGAGCGTGGTCAGCCAACGGCCACTGCACGCAGCACTGGCGGACGGGGCCCCGCGGCCCGCCTGCCCATTCACCGTGAGGGGCTGCCGGGCGCTAGCGGCAGGAGGACCCCGTGTCTGTGCACAGGACACGGTCTTCAAGAAGCTTTCGTACTGCCCGGGGACTTTCAGCGGCAGAGCAGGGGACAGAAGGGCTAGAGAGACAGAGCAGAGCGGAAAACACAAAGCAGGGCTTGGTTATTCTCAGGCAGGGCATCCCGGCCTCCAGCCTGTGTCCTGGGTGCCAGATCCCGGGGATGTTGGGAAGACTCCCGGGAAACACAGCCTCTGCTGGGAGGGGCTGAGAGCAGGTACTCCCACAGAAGACAGCGGGGGGGGGGGGTAGGGAGGTGACAATGGAGGCCGGGTACCACAAGAGACAGACAGACACAGAGACAGAGAGAAAAGATGCTGAGAGACAAAGGCAGAGAAGCAGGAAAGGAGAGAGAGATGGGGGAGGGTGAAGGGAAGGAGAGAGAAGGTGGGATAAAGAGATGCACAGATCCAGAGACAGAAATGTAAAGAAGAAGCAGGGACCAGAGCTACAGAACAGCGGGTCTGGTGTTTTTGCCTTGCATATGACTGACCCAGGTTCGAGCCCCTGCATCCCATATGGTCCCTTGAGCACCACTAGACGTGATTCCTGAATACAGAGTCGGAATTACCTCCTGATCATTGCCAGGTGTGGCCCCAAAACAAAAAGGGGAAAAAGGGGGGTTAGAGGGGGAAAAAGAAAAGACATAATGAGATACAGAGGGAATGATAGAGAGAGCAAGAGAGAGAGGAGAGAAGAGGAGAGGAGAGGAGAGGAGAGGAGAGGAGAGGAGAGGAGAGGAGAGGAGAGAGAGAAAGCAAGGGAGAGATGGAGTGAGAGAGGAGAGGAGAGGAAAGGAGCACAGAGGAGAGAGAGAGAATGAGAGAGAGAGACTGGGTCAAGGCTCTAGCCCTCATGTGGGGTGTCCAGGGCACTTGGAGACACACCAGCTTGAGAAAGGGACCTTCCAGAAAAGAAAGAGAAGTCTTCAAGCTGTTTCTGTGGGGGGCGAAATTCTAGCTGGGAAATCAGAAATTTAGAGTCATAATCCCAACCCTACCCTTCACTTGCTCTCTGACTCAGACGCTCTCTGGGCTCCAGTTTTCTAGAACTCAAGAAGTTGAGAGGACAGAGAGATAGTTCAGAGTTTAAGGCACTTGCCTTGTCCTGAGTTCAATCTTCAGTACCCATATGGTCCCCCTATTACTGCCAGGAGTGATTCCTGAGTGCAGAGCCAGGAACGAACCCCAAGCACAGTCAGGTGTTGCCAAAAGACAAGAAGAGAAAGGGGGGACGAAGAGGAGGAGGGGGAGGAGGAGGAGGAAGAGGAGGAGGAGGAGGAGGAGGAGGAGGAGAAGAAGGAGAAGGAGAAGGAGAAGGAGAAGGAAAGGAGGAGGGGGAATAGGAAGAGGAGGAAGAGGAGGAATAGGAAGAGCAGGAGGAGGAGGAAGAGGAGGAGGATGAAGAGTAAAAGAGTAAGAGAAGAAAGAAGAAGAAGAAGGAGGAGGAGGAGGAGGAGGAGGAGGAGGAGGAGGTGAAAGAGGAGGTGAAAGAGGAGGAAGAAGAGAGACGAGGAGGAAGAAGAGAGAAGAGGAGGAAGAAGAGAAAAAGGATGATGAGATAGATGAGGAAAGAGACGAGGAGGAGGAGGAAAAATGATAATAGTAGCAACAATAATAAACTGGACAAGACCGCACTGTTCAAATGGAGACCACACAGGGCCTCAGCCCCAGGCCTTCTCTCGCCTGGGAGCCGTGCTGCCGAGTGCTTGGGCTGTTCCTTCAGGCTGCACACGGGGGCGGTGAGGGGCACGTGGCCAGGCTTCTAGGGGAGAGGGTGGGCAGGGTGCCAGGCACACTTACAGCTCGTCGTCGTACTCCTTGGGGGGACAGACGGCAACCACCAGGTCAATCCAGTCCTGTGGGGAGAGGCTCAGTGACTCCGGGCAAACTCAGGGACCTGCTCCTGACACCCCACTTCCACTCCTGGGCGCCAGGGCCTGGCCCAAACCCCCGAGGCCTTCTTCCCATGGGAGGGGGTCTCCGAGGGGCTGGAGGGCCTAGTTTGGGGGTGGGGTGGGCCTCCCTGTGGAGTCTCCCAGTCTGGGCAACTTTCCCATCTCTGGGCCTTCAGAACCCCGAAGACCAGGGCTGCCGGGCCTGGAGCAAGACTGAACCCCAATATGCTGAACTGTGGACCAGAGGCAGGCGGCCACTTCCAGAAGCACATGAAGTTTCTTAAAACTGGGCCTTGGACTGGAACAACAGCACAGCAGGTAGGGCATTTGCCTTGCACACAGTTGACCCGGGTTCAATTCCCAGCATCCCATATGGTTCCCTGAGCACTGCCACGAGTAATTCCTGAGTGCAGAGCCAGGAGTTAACCCCTGTGCATTGCCGGGTGTGACCCAAAAAGCAAAAAACAAAACAAAACAAAAACAACTGGGCCTCCAGGACTCTGGGAAAGGTCCTGGGAAATGGCAAGTTTAATACCATCCTTGGATGCACAGCCAGTCAGGGACCTTCTGGCCTCGCTGTGGTCCTGACTCCCCTCATCACTGCCACCCACTGGGGCTCCCTCCTGGGCCCTCCTGGGCCGGGCTGCAGCCCATAAAAAGAATGCGAGCTCTCACTAAGCCTCTCCCCCAGGTCATGACTTCTGACGCTGAGCTGCAGTCTTCCCCCTGAAAACCTCCCTCTCTCCCTCCATGCACTCCAGTCTCCCGGAGCTCCCTCGAGCCCTGGCACAGCCCTCAGATCAGCAGACACAGTCAACGTGTTACCCGCAAGTCTTCTCTGGTCCATATCCTTTCATGAGGGTCCCAGGCCCAGCCGCTCGGCTTCCTCGGCTCTGAACTTAATACCTCAGGCTCGGCTGCCTGCACACAGTTGCACAGGTTGTGCACTGCACAGCACAAGTGGTCACCACGCACACCGGCACCTGTGCAGTGCTGACCTGATCTTGCTGGGAGGCTCCCACAGCCTCACTTCCACTCTGGGTCCTCGAGTGCTGGGAAGGGTTCTAGCAACCCCAAGCACTCTTTGCACTCCTGTCCCATATACCTTGAAGTTTTTTTTTTTTTTTCCTCCCCAAAGGTGGTTTGCCAGATCCAGCCTTTGGAATCTGTCTTTTTTTTTTTTTTGACTCAAAGTCAGAAATGCACATTTGCTCTCTCGGTTCCATCTTTTCCAATCATGACCCTGGACAGGATGGGGAGTTTTGGGTGTCTCCCAGAAGCTGACCTGGGAGAAGGCCCACCGACCAGAAGGCACAGCAGAGAGGCCGGGGGGCGGGTAGGGGAGGTGGGCAGGAAGGTGGGGCTACGGGGGGGATCTGGACTCACCCCCTGATTCCAGGCCTTCTGCAGGGTGGCCTCTGCCTCCGCCAGGGTATAATCTGTCACGATCTTGCCATTGATGGCCATGACCTCGTCCCCCTTCACGATGCCGCCTGCGGGGAGACGAGGCCCGTCAGCTACTGGGGCTTGGCAAAAAGTGCTCGCTGGTGTAGCTTCCAGAAGGCCCGAGCCTGGACTTGAGGGGTCCTCCCTGTCCCATGGGCTCGAGAAGCAGGAAACAACCCACCAGTTCACCCGAAGGCCACTTCCTCGGTGGGGGGGTTAGACTCAGATGGGAATGCACATGGGAGGCCCCAGATTTGAGCCTAGGCACCACCTGACCCCTGAGCACCACCAGGGGTGGGCCTGGGGGCTCTGGCACTGTTGGGGCGACTCCCAGGGCCCTGGAGCACTGCTGGGCCGAGCAGCACAGAAGAGTGGGGCTGACCCAGCAGGCTGCATGGGGAGCTGGGCAGGAAGGGGTTATCAGCTCAGCAGCTCTGTTCCCGTCGGTGGGTGGGCACCCCCAGACTTCCCACCCCCACTCCTCGGAGCTCTCTGCAGACCGTCCATCCCCACTGTTGTCTGCTCAGGCTCGTGTGAGTCAGGGAGCCTCCGAGGCGGAGGGTTGCATCCCCACAGGTCCCACAGGTGCAGGCCGGGACCCAGAGTACGCACTTAGGGTGCAGGGATGGGGCCTTTCTGGGCCACTGATGGCCACGCTCACTGGGGAGCTGCTGGCTTTCCAGAACCCTCCGCAGCCCACCAGCAGGGCGCTGATCCACTGACCGTGCCGCTCTGCTGCTCCGCCCTCGTACACGGCCGAGACGACCACCTTCCCGATTGGGGAGTCCACGCCACCTTCCAGGGCCAGGTCTAAGGCCCCCTCCTGGGCAGAGAGAGAGGGGCCTGAGGGAGCTGGGTGGACAGTGGCCGGCGGGCACCAGGGCCCTGCTCGTCTGACAGGAGAGCTCAAGGCTGATGGCAGCGCCTCTGCCAGAGACCAGGGCCCGGCACGGTCCCACCACAGGCGGGGCACCCCACAGATCTGAGGGGTCCCCCCCCAAATCAGCTAGACAGTAGGAGAAGGGGCCCAGGGCGGGAGGGCCGGGTGGAGAGGCGCAGAGGGCGCAGGTACCTTCTTAATGCGCAGCAGCCGGACGTCCTTCCCGATGATCTGCCCGGGGGTGAACTAGAGGGAGAGAGGGGGGCTCGTCCACCTGAGGGATACGGTGGGCAGGCTGGGAGGGAAGCCACCTCTTGGGGGTCACCGGGGCCCCAACAGTTCACACGCCCAAGAGCCATGGATCCTCAAGTGTCTGGGGAACATGTGGGCACACACACACACACACACACACACACACAGTCATACATCCCCAGTGTGAGGACCAGGCGATAACATCCCTGGAAACACAGCACCCTCAATTCACAGTTCAGTGAGTATGACTGCTAGGAGACACACACACACACACACACACACACACACGTACATAATCACATACACACAAAAACACTCTTACATACACACACACTCCCATATACACACTCTCATAGACATACACACTCACATGTTCACTCACACACATACACACTCACTCATATACATCATACATACACACTCCCATATATACACACTCACATATATACATACACACGTTCACTCACAAAAAAACCTCATACATACATGCACATACATACACTTGTACATGCATACATAACTTGTATACATATACACATGTTTATTCACACATAAACACTCATATGGACACACAAGTACTTGCACACGCATACACTTGTGCACACATGTACTAGTGCACACATATACGTACGCTCACACACATACATTTTACACACACATACACATGTTTATTCACACACATAAACAGACATACACACGTACTTGCAGACACATGTACTTAAACACACATACACACACTTGTACACACATACATATACACTAGCACACATGCATTCATACATACACATGCACACACATGCACACATGTCCTACCATATAGTTGACACAGGAGGGAGTCTTCAGTACAAAGAGTCAGGGGGATTTCCAGAATTCCTGCACCCCCACCCCCTCTCCAGGTTGCCCCTGGACCCCAGTGCACTCCAATGTAGTGCACTGTGCCCCCTCACCCAACTCTGGGGACTGCTCCCCAGGGGCAGGCATTCTCTCTCACCATGGAGTAAGGGTCAAAGTTTTCTTCGTATTTCCGGAAATCCTGGAAGCAAAGGGAGGGGTGAGGGCTACAGAACCAAGCCCCGAAGGGCACTGCCAGATGAGTGCAGGGAGGACAGCATGAAGCGGGTGGAGATGGGGGTGAGGCTGGGGGCTTCAGAGAGGAGGCCGGCAGCCCCAGTAGCCAGAGCACCCCAGCAGGGGAGAAGCAGGAAGCCAGGAAGCCAGGGAGGCATTTGGGGACCCTGCCCACTCTGCCCGGTCTAGGGGGTGCCCGTGGCTGGAAGGGGCATCCTCACACTGCCAGGTGGTCCAGACAGGCACAGCCTCCTTGCTGGGGTATCTCCTGCCCACCGCCTCAGGTCTTTTAAGCTCTGCCCTCATTTCCCTGCATGCTCATGCTAGTCGGGGCTGACTCTGGAGGTGAAGTTCAACTTACGTCTCCCCAAACTCGGACCCCATGGACCGACAACTCTTCTCAAGAAGCTCTGGGGTGGGCGGAGGGGAACCAGTGAATAGAGGTTAAGGGACAAGGCATGAATTAAAAAGGGGGTTGGTCACCCAAAAGGAGAGAGAGAACACAGGGGATTGCCCTGCCACAGAGGCAGGGGGGGATGGGGGGATGGGGGTGGGGGGATATTATCCATGGTGGTGGAAAATGGGCACTGGTGGAGGGATGGGTATCTGATCATTGTATAATCGAAACCCAAGCACAAAAAATTGTAAATCTACAACTGTAAAAAAAAAAAAAAGAAACAAACAAAAAAAATTTTAAAAAAAAGAAACAACAAAAAAAAGGGGGGTTGGCGCTCTGTGCTTTCAGGGCCCAGAATCATTCACACCTCCCCGAAAGGTCAGAGGGCTCTGCTGGGGTGGGGGCGGGGAGACCACACAGCTCTGCTGTCAACTGGTTTGTGGGGCGAGGGTGGAGGGACGGGAATCAGCACAAGATGAAGATGTGGTGGGTGGGAAACGGGAGCGGGAAGCTAGAAGGAGCCACTGTGGCGAGGGGGGGGGGGAGCCGGGGCCAAGGGGCCAGGCCGGACAATGTGAGGGCCACACAGCGTGGGCTTGAGCCCCTGGAGACAAGGGGGCGAAGAAGGAGGTCCAGGAGGTGGGGGTCACGGGCCTTGCTGGACTGAGTGACGCAGCTCCCAAGGCTACGCCGGGAGCAAGTGGCCGGTCCCGGGTGGCCCCAGCAGGCAGCAGCCTGGGTCTCGGCCCTCAGCATCTGCATCCCAGCATCTGCATCGCTGGCCCTCCCCTCTCCTCACGCACCACCACTTCCCAAACAAAGCCTGAGGTTCTTCTCTTTTTTTGTGGGGGGGGGGGGCGGGGGCACACCTGGCAGAGCTCAGGGGCTACTCCCGGTGTAGTGCTCAGGGGTCATTCCCGATGATGCTAGGGGGCTGTGCAGTGCTGAGGATCGAAGGTGGGGCTCCTTTCTGCAGAGCTGCTCTGCAGAGTTCTCTCTCTGGCCTTGAATCAGGGGTTCTCTCACCAGCTCAGAGGCCGCCCCCTTGTGGGTCACTTGAGGAGTGGGCGCAGGGCTGGTCAGGAGGGATGGCTCAGGGGTTGCTGTTCCTTCTAGGATATGCAGCAGTGACCTTCTAGGAGCCCTGGCTCAGGGCGAGCCTTGGGGCATGGTCTGCATCTTGTGTGTGCTAGAAGTGGCACCTACAAGCCCTCACAGCTGGTGGGCACTTCTCGGGATCCCCAGCCTCCCCCGCTCCCCACAGAGAGACTGAGGGGATGTTGGCATCTAAGGTCACCCAGTTCCAGGTCGTGGACAGGGGCTGGACTCCCAGTCTCAGCTCTGAGCCTCCTCACCTCCCACCCTTTCTCCCTTAGGGTGTGGTGCCCCAAACCCCAAACCCCAAATCCTTGAATGTCTAGTTGACAATCATTATAAATCACCATAAACTGTCTTGCCTGCAGCCAACTCCAGCATGATCCCCAGAAACACATCTCGGCCCCTGAGCCTTGTGACCCCTGAGCATTGAGCCAAGAGTGCCCTCAAGCCCCAATCCTCAAAAGAAAAACCACACACACACACACACACACACACACACACACACACATCACAGTTGCATGAATTAAGGGTGGGAGGAATACAGAGGCCCTTATACGCCCACCGAGGAGCACACAGCCCTCTGGACCCGGATCCAGCACCTGTTTCCAAATCTCTCTGCATCCGTTTCCCATCCAGTGGGGCAACAGGGAGGGGAGGGGGCGGAGATCATGAGACCTTTGAAATGGCTTGAGCCAGCTTAGCCTTCAGGAGCTGCCCTCTGTTGCTGCCAGGGCTGGGCTGGGAGCAGCCTCTCAGGTAGCCCCTCATGGACAGCCCCCGAGGGTGATCAGAGGGACCCAGGTTCAGAGGGGAAGCTGCAGGATGACCCTCTCTCGGCGTGTCCGGTGTCAGCTCCTTGGACCTCCCCCTCAGAGGTGACAGAAGAAGCTGCTAGCCCCATACCCCTCACAGGCTGGCCAGGAGTGCCCTGGACAGACAGACGGAGGGTGGGGGTGCTGGGGTAAGTGGGGAGAGGGCTGGGTCAGGCCACCCTTTCCTTCCCTCTTAGGGCTGGAGCAGGGGCCTCTCAGGGTTTTGGGGACCCTCCTGCTTGCTCATCTTAGAACAAACATCAGCCAGAGAGGTGAGCCCCAGGGCTCCTGCCACTCACCCACGTGGCATGAAGCCCTCCCCACCCTCTAGTCCAAGGCAGCGGGGGACATGGCTGGGGTCAGAGGAACCCCAGAAAGTAATGCTTTTCCTTAGAACCAACTGGTGTTTCCCAAGAAAGCCATCAAAGAGGGAGGGGAGGGGTGTTCCACAGCACACGAGGGATGGGGGTTTACTTGTCTGAACGCCGTCTGATAAACCACCATCCGCTTCAGCATCTCCTGGGGCTGCAGGCAGGAAACAACAGCGCCACCCGTGACTCAGGTCTCGCCTGCCCCCTGCTGCCAGCCCTGCCACATGCCGCCCCAAACACACATGGAAACTCCTGCAGTTCTAGTTCAGCGCACGCCACCCTTGTCATCCGTCAGCCCGAGCGCACAGCAGGGACGCATTGGACGGGGTCACAGGCAACAGCAGGGCAGCTAAAGCCCCAAATAAGTATCTGTCTGACACCTGGACGGGGTTCGCTAGGAAAGGGATAAACATTCTGGCACGTTCCTTCCTATGGGAAGTGGAAGGTAAGTGCCACTAGATGGGGCACACAGGAGTCCGGGTGACCGGGGTGGGCCCTTCCCTTCCAGGAGCATAGTGCCCACTTGGCAGTCCTGGTGGGGTGATCTGGGGGCTACCTCTGCTGTGTCCAGGTCTCTATCTTGGAATCTGGATTACACAGTGAGTGTGGACTCAGCCCTGGGAAGCTCAGGGACCCTGGCTAAGCCTCAGCTTCCTTGAGCATTACACGGAGGGAACGTTGTCACCAAACAGTTGGGAGAACACACAGAGCTGGACAGACTCAGCTCTCCATGAGTCTTTGTATCAGTGGCGCAACCACTGCTAGGTTAAACTGTGGCTGCTGCGACCACCACTAAGTTACACTGTGGACCACCACTAAGTTACAATGTGGCTGCCAATAAACACGCTAAGTTACAATGTGACAGCCGACCATCACTAAGTTACACCTTGGCTGCCCACTAAGTTACAGGGTGGCTCTGGACCACTGCTAAGTTACATTGTGGCTGCCAATGACCACACTAAGTTACACTGTGACTACCAACCATCACTAAGTTACACTGTGGCTGCCCACTGCTAAATTACATTGTGGTTGCTGCCACCACCTCTAAGTTACACTGTGGCTGTATCATGGGGTGCCGGGCTGCCGGGTCCAGATGAGCAGCAGTCCCTCTAGTCATGCTCACACCCACCCAACCCTGAGGCCGCGGAGAAGTCCAGGAGCCCACGCCTTGTCCACACTTGTACCCTTCCTCTCTCCTGGGTCAACAGCACCCAGGGGAGACGGTCCTCGTCTGTTTCCTTGGCGATGGCCTGGGAGTGGGGGGAGGTGGACCCACCCCCAGGCTTACCAGGACCTCGGCTTTCACTGGGTGCCGGTAGATGAAGTTGGGCTCCTGGTGGACCATGACGGGTTTGGAGATGGTGGACACGCCAGGCCCCCGAGGAGGCTGTGGGCTTGGGCAAAAGGTCTGCAGGGGTTCAGGGTGGAGAGACCCAAATGAGGAGGGGGGGCGTCTAGCGAGGCATCTTGACATGCAAATTCACACCATCAACATGCAGGGTGGTATGGTCCCTGCACCTGCGCAAGCCTCCATATGTGATCTCAGGCAGAGGACAGAGAAGGCCACGGGCCACTGCATAGGCTCTCAGGCCACAGCAACCAATGGAGGGCTTGGAGAACAGAGCTGGTGACCTGGAGGCTGAGGGCAGCTTGGTGACTCCGAGCACACTCAGAGGCTCCCTCACTGGCCTGGTGCTGCCCAGCCTCCTCCCTCCCTCAGGCCATGCCTGGACAGCACATGCAGGTCCCAGAGGCTGGTGGCTGAGACCCAGCTGATTGGCACCTGAGACACAGGTGTCCCTCTGCTTGGCTCAGACACCCTGGTTCATGTTGAGTAAACGGGTCAGAAGGGTAGAAGGGGTCCTTCCCCGAACCCTTCCTGGTGCCCCTGACTGCTGAGCATCTTGGTTTAACACTGCCTCCCCATGCCCTCCCGCCCCGCCCCCTGTGAGCTTCTCCACCCTCCACTGCAGGCTTATGCCTCATGCCTTCTCTCCCCTTATACATTCTCTCCAAAATGCCAGGTTTTGGTGCCTTGATTTTTCGGTTTGGGGACCCAGAGGTGCTCAGGAATTATTCTGGGTGGTGCTTGAGAGACCACTGTGGCGCCAGGGAACACACCAGGGCTGGCAGCACACTTGCAAAGCAAGCAGCCTACCTTTGCAACTTATTGGAACTTATGGTTCCAATAAGTAACACTTATTGGAACTTATTCACACTCTCTTATTCACACACTCTTCTCTCCTTCTGCCCCACCTGCTTAGGCCTTAGCTTAGGTATCACCATCTCCCTCCTCTGAGCCTCACTCCTCACAGCACACAGCACTTTTGTTTTCCTTTTCCCATAGGGATAGTTTGCTGCTGATGTGCCTCACTTCCCTACCAGATGGACTCAGGCAGGGGCTGGGTTGCCCACTTGCCAAGGTTTTCCAGGAGAGTGGCTGGCACAGAATAGATAGATGCGCATGAAACGTCTCAAATGAATACCTGCATGGCTCAACAGGACATTGGGCCATCGATGGGTAGCTACGGCACCTAGAATCTGGCAGGTGCCGTGTGACTGGACAGGTCTTTAGCCAGCAGTAGTATACTCCCATCCACTCCACACCCTAGGCCTGTTGGTGGTTGGACTGGCTATGCAAACGTGACATGGAGGCTTTTGCTACAGCTCTGGAAAACAACTCACCAATGGCACACAGGAGGGGGTCAGGCAGGGCAGTGGTACAAGGGTCAAAGGGCTGGTGCAGGCGGGAGGAAGCAAAGCTAAACGGTAGCCCCCAACTTTGCCCCCTGCACCAGGAACAAGCCTGGACCTGAGGGTCTTTCAGATATTTAGGGTCCAGTACTTCAGATGCCCCAGGTTTGAAAGGGGTCTTCACTCACTCTATGCTAATGGGAAATGAACGGCGAGACTTTCATGATTCATCAAGGAATCCTCAAGGAATCTGAGAACATGGGTCCCAGTGTTGAAGTTTCATCCTACCCCAAAGACTTTCAGTTTACCTCAAGCCTTTGTTTGCTGTGCCACCCAAATTTTCTTGGACCTGAATCTGCCACTGATCATGTCCACTGTGCCTGCCATAGTTTTAACCTAGAATGGGCTCACGCAATATGTTCTCTGCTTCTCCTAAAGAGGTGGGTGCCATGAACATTTCCATTTTTTCCAAGGAAGACACCCAGGCTCGGATAAAATGCGGTGGCACCAGCCCAGAGCTCTCCAGCCATTTTGTGTCCCAGCCAGGATGGGAACCCCAGGGATTCCATCTTGACCACTCTATGGTCCCTCCTATGCCCTTTCCCCCGTTTAGTATAACATCCCTCAAGGCTCCCACAGATCTTTTACTCTACAGAGATGCTTCCACCTTCCCACGAGCACCTCCTCACCCTCACTCCACTTAGACTATGCTGATTTGGCGGGGAGGTTTGGGTCACACTTGACAGTGCTCACGAGACCATATGCAGAGCCAGGGATTGATGCATGCAAGTCAAGGGCCTCAATACCCACATCCTGTGCTGATTTTATAGCTGAATCCTGCCTGGTCCCTTGCCTGTCCTTCAGATGGCAAAGCCTGGGCCAGACAGGGCTGCAGATTCCCTCTGCATCCCTCACAAGGTGGGTCATGGCTCTGTGCACTAGGGCTCACTCAGTGAAGCTGGTGTGGCTGGGTTCTGGGGCAAAGAGGCTTCTCCCTATCCCTACAGCTGATGCAGAACCCCACTGCAGGCTCAAGAAAATCCTTGGAACTCCCTGCAGGAGGCTGCAGTCCTGTGGGCATCTGACATTTTCTTCACTTGCACTTGATTCCCATAGCACTCCTGCATGAGCTGAGACCATCCAAGGTTTGCTCTTGATGCAGAAACTTCAGGTGGGGAAGGTTGATTAGCAATAGCACAGCGGTAGGGTGTTCGCCTTACAAGCGGTCAACATGGCCGACCCAAGTTTGATTCCTCCGCCCCTCTCGGAGAGCCCGGCAAGCTACCGAGAGTATTTGATATGCCAAACACAGTAACAACAAAATCTCCAATGGAGACGTTATTGGGCCCGCTCGAGCAAATCGACGATCAACGGGAGGGCCTTTTTAAAAAAAAAAAAGAATAAAAAAATTAAGGTGGAGTTCATGCCCAATTCAATCAGCTAATCAGTGGCTGAATAAATAGCTGTACCCCTACAAAAAAAAATCAAAACAAAACAAAACAAAGAAATAAAAAAAATTAAAAAACACTGATCTGAGACCACTGGCTACCCTCGGCTCAAGTCCTCTAATCACCCACCTCCCCTCAACTCCCCTCACCCCCAGGAGACCCACTTGATAAACTGCTTTAGAACTGACTCCAGCCAAGCCCCAGGGAGCAGGGGGATAGGTGTCTTCCTCTCCATGAGGTCAAAGTTCCATGGCTTCCTTTCAAATTAGTGCTCATGAAACAGTCATTGGGTTAAGAACAATTAAAAACAAATGTCTTTTTAAAAAAAAAAAAAGAAAGAAAGAAAAATCACTGTTCTGTCTCCTTACAGGAAAGAAAATTTTCTGTAGTGTTTAAATAATAAATTTCAAGACTTCTAGGAAATTTGCAGTTGGAAGTTGGAAGTTAGCAAGTTTCTGCCTACTGTACACTAAAAGCCAACGTCATTGGTTAGTACCATAGAAAGTGGTGCTGTCTATGCTGGAGATAGTACAGTGGGCGGGGTGCTTGCTTTGCACACAGCTTACCTGGAATTTGATCCCTGGTACTACATATAGTCCACTGTGCCCTCTGGGAGTGAGCCCTGAGGGCAGAGCCAGGGGTAATCCCTGAGCACTGCTGGGTATGTCCCCAAAACAAAAAAGAAAGAAAAAAGAAAATAGCACTGACGTTGGACAGTGTTATCACTTCATTTATAGAGCCCAAGATTACTCCCCCTTTTTTGATATGTATGTGGGGGGGGGGGAAGTGGTGCCCAGGGGACCGTGAGGTGCTGGGAATTGAACCTGGAGCTACCACATGAAAACTATGCATCCCAGCCCTGCAAGCCCTCTCCCTGGTTGAGACCCTTTCCCCCCCTTTTTCACCCAGTTAAAGTTGGGGTTGATTTCCCATATTTAAGACTTTAAGGCTCTCACAAACTGAGCCTTGCAGGTACTACACTGCAAGTGACCAGCAGAGGAGTGAAGAGAGCTCTGGACACCGTCACTCTTCCTAGTTATCTCCGTAATTCACCCTAAAACACAGCACTGCAAAACCAGCAGAAACCATGCACATGCAGGAATGCGCGCGTACACACGTGCGCGCAAACATACACACACAGAGGGCGTGGCACACGGAAGCCCTGCCCCCAACATGCATAGGAGTAGGGGGCGTGGCGTGCAGAAGCCCGTCCCCTCCCAGCATGCTCTCTCCGGTGGTACCTTTGCCGTGGGCGGTGGGAAGCTGCGTTCAGGGACTGGGGAGTTGATGGGCTTCCCGCCGTGGTTCCTGGCCTCCCAGTCCTCTGTGGGGTTGCCCATATCCCCCGTGCGGAAGGTGTGGCTGCCCAGAGCCTCCTCCAGGGCCGAGGGCAGTGGACGGGTGGGTGTGAGGTCTTGTGTGGGGATGGATGGTGGGGGCGGAATGGGGATAGGGGGCGGCGTGTGCTGCACCCAGGGGGAGGAGGAGGTGGTCGCGCGCCCAGATGCGGGCAGGAGAGGGGGCGCAGGGATCTTGGCGGGCGGGTTGGAGGGGGGCGGGTGGGGCATCACAGGCAAGGCCGAGGACGTCTTGGGGGGATAGTAGAACATGTCTAAGGGGATGTCATCCAGGTCGGTGGTGTGGAGGTGCAGCCCGCCTGCGAAGCGCTTCAGGGGCGGGACCAGGGGAGACACAGAAGGCGGGGGAGGTGGGGGCCCCGTGGGCATCTGTTGGGGGGTGGGAGTTTTCAAGGAAGTTCTGTCACTGACTGGAGCACAGAAGCACTTTTCTGCCCTGTGTCTCTTGGTGCTGGAAACTCTCTGCCCTCCCAGACAGTTCTAGAGAGTGAGTGGCACGGGTCTGCCAGCTGGTACCCAGCTAACCCTTAGTGGGCAGCTGGGAGGGAGGGCCCATGGCAGGAGGGTTGCAAGTTATGCCATATATGGGCCTCAAGTAAGGGGCTCCTAATATTAACTATCTAAACTGGGACACACTTGCCAGAAAAGGGGAGACCGGCCCAGGCACCAGCACCATAGACCTAACTGGGGCTGACTCAAAGGGCTGGACCTTCATGAAGGGTCAATCTGGAGACTCGCCCAGGAGAACAGCTATTTCCCCAGAGCCAGGTCAGGCAGTGGCCACTTTGCCTCCTCTGTGGTCCCCCAGGTGGGCGTTGGTGAAGGCCAGGGTGGGAAGAAGGTGTGTTACCTCTGGGATCTCATTCTCAGCAGAGGAGATCTGCTCGAGTCGCGTCTGACACAGCCTTTCCACCCAGTACTGAATCTTTTCTGATTCCTCAAGGTCTTCCCGCTCTGTCTCTGACACCTGGGGCCCCAGGCCGGTGTGTAAAGGAGACAAAGGGTGCACTCACGTCACGGTGGGCCATGGGAGCACACCCCCTCAGGTGTGGGAACTGAAGGGGAGAGGGTGTCGGCACTTCACTGCATTTGCAGGCAAAGTATGAGCTTGTGGATTATTGCACAGGATTAGCTGGCCCCAAACCCTTAGGGTCTGGGGATCCTCCAAAAAGGGGTCATTTGGTAGAGTCTTCCATGAGGATAACTTGACTCTCCCCAACCCTCTTCCAGGCTGCCTTGTCCCTGTGAGGCGTAGGTTTGATCTTATATTTAATTGTGTCACTAATTTGTTCCTAATGCCAGACCTAATTCACTTCACATATTCCAGGACTCCTCTGATTTCATAATCTAATCAGCTTGGCATTCTGATTCACAGCAGCATTAAAGGCAAGCAGAAGCAACACTATCTCCAACAGCTGGGAGTGAAGGTCACCCATTCATCTAGAACATAGGAATTAGTGTTCAGGGTTGCTTTGGGCAGTGTTGGAAGGGGAACCCTCAGATACATTCCAGCCTAAGACATACCCTGTATCGATAGCTGTGCCCCAGACTCTTAGCCTGATTGAGGAATAGCTTCAGCCCCTGCCTGCATCAAGGGGTTCATCTCATTTATTTAAAACTTTTTGTTTGTTTTTCGTTTTTGGGCCACACCGGCAACACGCAGGGTTGCTCCTGGCTCTTCACTCAAGAACTATGGGGATGCTGAGGATAGAACCCAAATCAGCCGCATGCAAGGAAAGCACCTGACCCGCTTTGACTATCGTTATGGCCCCAAGGGGTTCATCTCATAACCAGCCCCTCAGAGGACAGGCAGCCTGGGAGAACCTAGCCTGGGACCTCAGAGAGGTCACTTCATCTGAGAAGCAGGTGGGGGCCAATTTCACTGCTTCTGTCCAGAGGGGTTTGCCCTGAGCTGTCATGCCACCCACTCACAGCTATCCAGCAGGTTGAGAGGTCTCAGCAAGGGCTCCAGTCTGAAGGGGATAAGGCTAAAGGTCCAGCCTTGGGATTCTACCTGGCACCCAGGTGTGTGGAGGGCTAACCTTAGGCCTAAGTGGGGCACAGGGGTTGGCCTCAGACTCATACTAGAGCCAGGAGGAGGCTGTTTCCATCTCAAACATGCACTGAAACCAGCATCTCAGATGAGACTGGCAAGGGGGTGACCTCACTCTGCAGACTGGGTGGCCCATCACTGGACCTTGGGATCTGTTTGGGGAGGACAACTCCCAGCTGCTCCACCAGGGGAGCGATGGGGAGCGAGCAAACCCTGTCCCAGGGAATCCGCCTCTCTCCGTGGACGGGTCACCTACCTCCTGAGCTAGCCGGTTGATCTTCAACTGTTTCTCCTTTTCCAACATTTCCTCTTTCTCTTTGTAAAGCTTTTGCTCAAACTCCAGCTCCTTCTTATTCTTTCTCAACTCCTGGAGGCTGTCGTACTTGGCTTTCTTCTTCTCCTTCCCTCTCTGAGCAGGTGTGGCATTGTTCACATGGCAACAGTTACAAGGCAGTGCCGGCACGGTGCAACACACATGGCATGTGACCCTCACACACAACCAGGCCGCTGGCTCCTGCGGTGCCCCGGCCCCTCACAGAGTGGGCAGCATGTTCTTTTTGTCAGCCAGCAGCACTCACTTTCCAGCTCACTGACTAGTTGTGTGACCTCTCAGCAAAGTTCTTCTCAAGGCTTGACTCACTTCATCTCCCGAATGGGAAAAATACCTGCCCTGCAGGCTTGCCATTTTTAACCAACAAAGCATTGTCTATGAGGGGCTAGAGCAATAGTATAATGGGTAGGGCGTTTGTCTTGCATGCTGCCGACCCAGTTCAATTATTCCCAGCATCCCATATGGTCTCCCGAGCACCTCCAGGAGTAATTCCTGAGTGCAGAGCCAAGAGTAACCCCTGAGCATCGCCGGGTGTGACCCAAAAAGCAAAACAAAAACAAAAACAAAACAAAGAAAAAGCCCAAAGTATTGTCTATGAAAGAGCTAGTAAACGTCAAAAATATTTTATGAATAAAAGGCATTGTATTTACTTCCTACTGTCTGAACAATGATGTCTCCATCATCTGGATGTTCAGACACCACAGATGATAGTATCCTTGGGACTCTAGAAACCAGGCAAACCTCATTGGTACTGATCCTTTTAGTCTCAGGGAGGGGGGTGGAGCCAGCCTCAGCACCAGGGATAAGAGGGTTTGCCAGGAGGCTTAAGCTCCTAACAATTTCATCCTAAGGGATCCAAACCCATCAACCACTAGGGTCAGGCCTGAGAACTAAGGACTAAGAAGCCTCAGTACTGGAATGTGAGAGGATGGCCTGACTTTTCACTGACCATCAGGATTTGAGGGGATTTGGGGGGGGAGATATGAGACAAACAGGCTGGTTACTCTCCTGTTGGAACTGAACAAAGCCTGCTTTCCCAGATACTTCTACTATGGGGCTGCAGGGAAATTCAGGCAGTAGGGAAGGGAAAGAATGGACACTAGTGGACACAGACTGCTTCTATGCCCAGGATGGCTGGCAATGGACTCCTAGGGAGGCATTCTCCCCATTGTTTTTGATGAAGGCACTCAGAGAGGCAAAGCCCCTTGCCAAAGGTCAAACATCTAGTCAGTGGTGGTAACAAGATTCAAACTCATCACTTATAGATTCTATTGTGCCCGCTGAGCCAGGGGACCTGGGCTCTGGGTAGGGAGAGTGTCACAAACACACACACACAGATATACACAAACACAGGGAAGTCAGAGCTAGCACTCAGGCAAGGGGACAGCAGAGACAGTCCACACTTTGGGAGTTCTTGAGGAAGAAGAAAGCCACGTGTTCACTGAGCTTACCCCAGGGTTCATGCTTTTTCCTGGCACCTGCTCCCAGGATTCTAGACTCACCCCTGTATCCACAGCCAGGAATGAAGAACTAAGTTCTCAGCAGTGGATACACATTGCATTGTCCGGAGCTGGAGGGACATGCTAGGCCATGATGGGTTCATGCCCACATCATCCCACTTCCCTGCCTCAAGACACCCCGTGTAGAGAATATATTTGGAGATGACCCCCTACTCTGGGAGGGATCAAGGAGCTGCTTGAGAACATGGTTCTGTTGCTTCAGCACCCTGCTCATTCTCTCCCGTGGTTGTTCCCTAGACTCCCTGCCCTCAATCCCAGGAAGAGCCCCAACAATTCTGCTCAGCGGCAGCATCTGAACATACGTTCCTGGCTACCCAGGTAGAAAGGGACCATCTGAGTTGTTAAAATCCCCGCCAGAGCCCACCTGTCAGAGCCAGAGATGCTGGTGGGGGCGGGGAGGGGGGGGACGACACAGGAATGCCATTACTTCTGCTCCATCTCCAAGAAGGAGGCTTCTGCTTACAGTGGCAGAAGGGGCAGCTATCTCTCAGCTTTGCCTCCTGAGTGCAGACTGGCCCCTTTTGGGCAGTTTCCTAGCTGTGCAGGAACTTGTCTTCTCGCCAAACTGCGGGAGTCTCTAAGCTGCACTAGTCCAGTCGTTGGCTCCAGCAGTGCTGGCCGTAGGGCTTAGGCAGACCATGATTTCTCCTGTGGGCCCAGGTTTTATGAGGTCACGGGCCAGAGATCTTGGGCCCTAGAGGGACTACAGCAATAGAAAGCATTGGGTCTTTACTTCTCAATTAGAGGAATTGTATGCATGGGCAGTCATGGCCACCAAGAGGGTTTTACTTGGGGACTTGGTGACCCAGCTGCCTGCAGGAACTGTTGGTACCTTTTCAGATCCAGCTCAGAAGCAGGACTCTGCTGTCCTCTCAGCTGCTGGTTAAACCCATGGCAGATACACCTGCCCATCTGCATTAGGGTTTTCGAGCGCCAGTGTGTAGGTGTATGAAGGTGGAAACTAATGGTCTGGACTGAGAAGAGGTGCTTGGAGGCTGTGCTCTTGCTTCTACCAAAAAGCAAATTTTCTCCCTTTGGAAAAGGAAATAACAATTCAAAGCACCAGGGTCTTTTTTGGACTAAGTGAACTTAATGAGTAGGGGAATAAAGTTCAGTTTTCAAGAGGCATAATTTCTGATGCTCTGTGTGTATGTGTGTGTAGGGGGGGGGAGGTTGGGGGAGGGTGCACACACACATGTGTATATGTGAAGGAGACTCTAGTTCTTTCACATGCACCTAGTTATAAGTGCCTGGAGAAGCTTTACCTACTTAGGTCCTTTGATTCTTTGATTCTTTTTACCCCTTTCTTTTCTTTTCTTTTTGGGGGGTTCCACACCTGATGATGCACAGGGGTTACTCCTGGCTCTGCACTCAGGAATTACTCCTGGCGGTGCTCAGGGGACCATATGGGATGCTGGGAATCGAACCCGGGTTGGCCATGTGCAAGGCAAACGCCCTACCTGCTGTGCTATCACTCCAGCCCCTTTTCTTTCCTTTTTGGACCATACCTGGCAGTCCTTGGGGCTTACTCCTGACTTTGCACACAGGAATCACTCCTGGGATGGGGGGCTTGGGAGACTAGACAGGGTGCCAGGATTAAATCTGGGTCAGTCGTGAGCGAGGCACGCATCTCATCAGCTGTACTATCTTCCCAGCCCTCTTTGACTTTCTTTCTAGCAAAATTCTGAGTGTGATCCATCCTCCTGGAGTCCTAAATAGAGATAGCATATAGAGAATAATAAATCTAACTAAAGAAGATGTCCTAAGTCACAGAGCTAGCCTGGGAAGGAATGGACAGTCACATGAAATCCTCTTCTTTCTGTGACGACACTCTGGCACCATGCAAAGGCATCTCCTGAGGTCTCTGACCTGAGTTTTACCCAGTGCCACACAAGTCCCATCTCTTATCCCGAGTAATAAAATCTACCTTTTCAGGAACAGCACTGCCACCTGATATCCCAATAACATGGTGTTAGAGAAAAGGGATGGATTTGTTCACACATCAGATATTTCCATTTTATAGACAGGGAGAAAAAATCTATCACTGGAGGTGGCTCAAAGGGCCGGGTGCAAGGCTATGCATGTGGGAGTCCCAGGTTTAGACCCTGGTACAGCATGATGCACTGAGCACTGCTGGGTGCATCTACCACATGAAAAGCAATAAAATCAAGCAATTAAAGATCATAAGGGTCAACCACATACCAGGACTTTGGTTTCTGGGGGCAACCATCCTGCCTAAAAGAGCCAATTGATGAATAACAGAAATTCATTCACCCAGATTTATGCCGGTGCCAGATTTCCAAATATCAGAGTCATCGCAAATGCCCAATCTGCAAACACGAACAGCTGCATTTTCATAATCAAATGCCAAAGTGATTTAGGAAGAAAAAGGACAAGCGGGAGTTTTATGGGGCCTGGAAATAGGATAATGAGATTTGGAGAGAAAATTTGAGGCCCCAGAGAGCAGGGAAATGGCATCCTCGAGGTCACAGGCAAGGCTGTTTCTCAGACGGAGGGGGCTGGCGAGGCGATTGCCCACCCGAGGCGGCACCAGCCCCAGCCCACCCGCCCCTCCCTGGCAGCCTATCTGTTCTGGAGACCAGCTCTGTACTCAGCCCACCTCATACGTCACTGTCTGACCTTGGCTGGGGCTGGGGCTTCTGGTTCGACTCAACAGAGAAACAGAGCAGAAGCCTCCTGCCTGCCTCTGTCCTGCTCCATGCCCACTGGAGCTTGTGCCTGACAGTCCCTAGGGTTCTCTCGCAGTGAACACGTTGCCTCCTGCCCTGGAACTCAGCCTGACAGGGAGGCACAGACAGAGCTCCTCACCCCAGGGGATAGGCTGCATTTCACAGCGTCGGTTTGACAGGAAAAGAAACGGGAGTTTGGGAAAGGCGAGAATCCACAGCACACTCCACCAGGTGCCCCGTCCTACCTTCCGGATGCTGGGGAATTTGCCATCATAACGATAAAACCACCCAAAGGCTGGAGAACAGAGAACACAGGCCAGAGTGACAAGATTCCTTAGCTCAGCCCGGTGTCCGTGGGCTGCGCAGAGGCGGGGGCCCAACAGCAAAACGGCGCCCTTAGTCCAACTCTCCACTTACCTGGCCTCCCCCCAGGGTGTCAAGCAGGCCCACAAGCACCTGGGAAAGGCTCTGGGCCACCCCCTGCTGCCTCTCGCCAAGACACTGGCATCAGCGGTCAGTGGGTGCCAGGGTCACAGTTAAAACTCAGTGTGGCAGGAGAAGCGGCTGTAGGTGACCCCCCACGAGGCCCAGCTGAAAGCTAGCCAGGTGCCCCCAGACTCACATGGGGCCTCCCCATTCGTTTAGGAGCTGGAAGGAGACGAAGGGGCTGCTGAGAGCATCTGCAGGATTCAAACAGGTCGTCCTCCCAGGCAGGCCGCAACCTCGGCTTCCATGTGGGACAACCAGGTGCTGGCCGGTCTGCTCGGGGCTGGACATCTCAGGCAGCAGTAGGCAGAGCCTCTCCCCAGCAAAGCACCCCCGCCCCCCCCCCCCCCGGTCTGGGTCAGAGAAGCTGGACGCCAATGCAGTTTGATAGGGCTAGGGTGCGAACCCCACTCTGCCAGGGCCAGCGGGATGGCTTAAACCAGTGTCCCTCAACCCTTTTCTGATCAGGATCCTCTTCCGGCCTGGTTTCCTTCCTTCCCCGTACTCGACTGCCTGCCCCCCTAGTTTCGGGCCATGCCCCCTCTGCCCATTTGATGGTCTTCTTGGAATGTCCTGGGAGTGGGCCACAGCTAGTAAACACTGGCTTAAATCATTACCTGCTCACAACCAACCTGAGTCCCCAAACACAACTCTGAAAGCTACCTGCTGCACCAAACCCCCTTATTTGCTGGATCTTGGGGGAGCTATAGGGTGACCTAGGGGATAGGGATATTCTAGAGCACCAAAGAAGCAACTTGGGTTAAGTGGGACTAAATGATTTGACAACTGGAACGTCAGTCCAGTCCTGAGACCTGACCTCAAGGATTTTTGGTTTTTTTTTTTTTTTGGAGGGGGGGTGTATACTGACTGTGTTCAGGAATCCCTCCGGGAGGGACTTGGGGGTCAAACGTGAGTTGGCCTTGAGTGAGGCCAGCGCCTTAGCCTGCTGTGCTACCTCTCTGGCCCCTGTCCTCGAGGTTTGGTGTGAGGCTTGGAGGGGCTCCCCAGGCTCCGGAGGCCCCCCCTGAGGTCACGGACTGGCAGGAGGAGGTGCGCAAGGCAAGCAGAGCAGCCAGGAAGGGCATGAGGCGAGGCGGGGTGGCAAACCTGCTTTCCCCGCTCCTTTGGGCCTGCGGGCTGGTGCTCTGGCAGTGCTCGCGCGGGTTCACCATCTACCCGGAAAAAAGGAGGAAACTGGTCAGCCCAGAGGAAGGGGAGAGAGCAGGAGGCCAGAGGTGCTTCCCGAGATGCTGGGGCCTGTTCCCAGCTGGCTCCGTGAGAGGTCAGGGATAGGAATAGGGCACAGAAGCCCTGCACCAAGGTTTCTCACTCTGGGAGGGGACACACGGTGCTTTCAACCTGGGTGGCTTTCACTGCTCCATCTGTAAAATGGGCAAAGGGCGGGGACTCCTGCTTTGGTGGCTGCCCAAGAAGCCCTGGGCAGGGCGCTCAGGGGAAATGGCAGCAATTCAGTGAGAGCAGGGGACTGTCTCATGGGCTTGCCGGCAGGGAGGACGCAGAGAGGCCCCTGCCTGCTTCTGTCCACCCAGGGAGGGAGCCCCAATGCCCCGATGGAGTTGCACGGCCAGCAGCACATGGCGGTGGGGATCCCAAGGAGGTGACAAGGTCCCGGGGGTTTGTGGAAGCACCAGCTTAGGTGGTTCCAAGCACCTGGGTTTTGGCTCAGCTGACCATCTACTCCAGTGGCTCCCAACCTGCCCTCCAGCCTCCTGGAGCCCCTGACGGTGGCCTGTGAATGCGCAGTGAGCTGCTTCTTAGTATTTGCAAGTTTTCCTTAGAACTCGCCCTCTGACCTGGGGAGGAGCTGGGAGGGCAGTGCCTGGAAGGTGGGCTCCACATATAACGCCTCAGCCGTGGGGCATCCCTGCCTTCCTGCTAACAGATGGGCCCACTTAATAAATCACGGAGAATACACATGATTGCTTATTCGCTTAGCAGGGAAAAAAAAACTCCGCTTCCACACCATGGGGCTGACTCATGGAAGAGGGATCATGGAAGGGGTCTTGGATGGGAAGGGGAGCTGGAAATCTCTCATTTCTGGCTCTGAGCTTTAACAAACACCCCCAATATCACTTTAGGAAAGAAGGCCCCCTTTTTTGGGAGGGGGGCTTTCTGAAAGTTTATCTTGGGCTTGAGGGCTCGGTGGAATGTTGGGGTTCTGCTGGGTGGGTCTGATAGTGGGAACCCCTGGGATAGGGATCTGGAGGGGGCAGGTAGCCACTGTCTTGGTTAGCAGTGGCTTCATTCTGTAGTAAGAGATGCTCCAAGCTCTTTCCTATCTATCCAGGAAGTGTGAGATCCACTAACAGGCCTGGATATCAGAGTCAAATAAAACCTATCAGCTACGGACCTGTGGTCAGGGCACAGATGGCTTTTGGTGGGGCTGGACTGAACCAGTACCTCGAGACTAGATCCCAGCAAAGAGACGTGAATGGGGCCAGCTCAGAGGCCTTGGGGCAGTTCCTGACTTAGCTCCAAGTTAAAATGGAGCCACGGGTGCTGATGGTGATGGAGATGGAGCTGCTAGCTCAGGCCAGGAGATAGCTGTCAGCCCCCTCCTCCCCCCACTTCACTGGGGTCCCCAAGAAAGCACTTTCATCCTGAAAAAGGGAACGTTCTTGCTCCTTCTATTAAAAAAGCTTCGTGTGTTTCAGAATCTCTCAATAAGCAGCGAGCTAAAGAAAGGGTTTTTATTGTCTAACATTCCTGAGGAGCTGTGTGCTCTGACGCCAATGCCCCGTGTCTAGGCAGGGACTCAATTGACGAAGATTACTTTCATGAGAAGCAATTAAAATCGATTTCTCTCCCGTGGGAGCTCTGATTTCACTCGCAACAGCAAATTAGCTCTCTGTGTAAGACACAGATTATTCACTAGGAATTGAGCTCCAGTCCCATCCTCAGCTCATGCCCACGGTCCTGGGGGAGGCTGTTGAGAGGGCGCTTTGTCCTGCACGGGGCCCTGGGCAGATGCTACAGCCCCTTGTGCGCTGCACCTGGGAGGTGGACCCGTCCACATGCTCCCCACTGACCAGGCTGATGCCCTCGAGTGACCAGTGCTTGAGTTCTACCCAGAGTTGGAGTCAGAGCTATGCGGATTCCATCCGAGGACCCCAAATGCATCCCACACTGCAGAGCTGGGAAACTTTGCTTCTTGGGTGGGAGATTCACCCCCTCCCTGCAGTTCCCACATCAGCTGAGCACAGTCAGCTGGTGCAGAACCTGTTCCACACTGAGTACAACTCAGGACTGTTTCCAAGAGGCAAAGGCACAACCAGGCAACCTGGGTGTGACCCCCGCAGCCTCCTAAGCAGTCAGGCTCCTGCCCCCTGCACTAGCCCACTCACCAAGCTCCAGCTCCCCTCCTCTTGCCCTGGGGGTGTGAGCTGCCCTTTGATGAGCTGTCCTGGGGGTTGGGGTGAGAGGGGGTGAGCAAGGGAGAGCAGTGTGGGAGAGTGTGCTGCCACTGGAGGGCATGGCACAGGGCAGATAAGGGGGGATGGGAGATAGCACAGGGCAGATAAGGGGAGAGATGGGGGATGGCACAGGGCAGATAAGGGGGATGGGGGATGGTACAGGGCAGATAAGGGGGGATGGGAGATGGTACAGGGCAGATAAGGGGGGAGGTGGGGAATGGCACAGGGCAGATGAAGGCAGGCACAGAATGGTCAATGTTGGCACCTGGGAGGGCCCTCACTCTTCTCCTCACTCAGATCTGGAAGTGGGGTGACCTAGTCCTGGCACAGGGACGCAGGTAATGGGGCTCTTCCGGGAAGTGCTTGCCCAGAGCCCCTGCAGGTGGCCCCCCTGTGATATACCCTCGCACGGACTCTTCCTCCCTGCCAAAGCTCCTTCCTGTGCCAGGGCGGGGTCTGCCCGCTGGAGGGTGTTTCAGGAGGGAGAAGTGAGTAGTGGGTCCCTAGGCCAGGGAAGGCTCACAGTGCCCCAGCCCCACCCGGGGCCCTGGCCGGCACCTGGCAGCCCCTCCATGAGGGTGATGATGTCAGAGCGCCGGGCATGCTTCACCTGAAGAGGGTGGGGGCAGCAGAGAGACCAGCACCTCTGCCTGGACCCCTGACCCCGAGCCCCAGAAGGCGGAAGCCCCCCCCCCCCCGCCAGTCATGTCACTTACATTTTGGCTTGCGAAGGGGGACGGGGTGCACCTCGGCAGTGACGGTCTTGGGCGAGAGCAGCTGCTCCTTGGAGCCCCAGTCTTCTTCCCACTGCTTCTTAAACTTCTCTTCATCCTCCATGATCCTGAAATAAGATTCCCACGCCTGTGGGTGAAGGGAAAGCCTTGGCAGGCCCGCCCCCTCTGCCTGCTGGGAAGCCCCCGAAAAGCCAGGACAGGGAACTGAGGCTCGGCACGATCACCTATAAATGGGGCAGGAGTGCCACCCTAGCACCCTGGCAAGACCCAAGTTGCCAAGGTTATGGGCTTTCCTGGGTGAGGAGGCAGCTACAGATAAAAGGGAGTCCCCCATCCAGCACCCCTGACCTCACACCGTCACACACACACACACACACACACACACACACACACACACACACACACACACACGGACTCACTGCTCCATCTCCTTCCGGTATCGCTCATTTTCCTCTGCTGCCTTCTGGGCAATTTCCTTCTTCCTTCTGAAACACAAAGACAGACAAGCCTGAGTGCACCTAGGGGTGAGACCTACTTCGAGAAAGGTGCTCCCCAGCACTTCCCAGCTCCCTCCCAACTTGGCCTGGACAAGGTCTAGGTGCTGGCTAGCAAAGTCGGGAGCCCAGACTCATATGTGACTTAGGAGTCGGAAGCCAAGACTCATGTGTGACTTTGGGGGACACAGCTGGGTGGGTCAGCATGGGTCTCCTTCAAATATCCACCCTCAAAACATAAGATTAATGGCAGGCAGGAGACAGATGTGCCCTGCACGATGACACCAGGCCCCTGCAGGTCAGAGATGCTCATCAGGCCCCAGGGCAGTGGGCTGGGGACAGGAGGTGGGAATGGGGGGGGGGGGGGGGCTTCTCACAGTGGCTCTCCTGGCTAACAGCCCCTGTCGTCAGTAGCCAGGTGAGCCCAGTCCACTGGAGGAGAACCTGCCCCCGGCCCAGGGATCTGAGCAGGGGAAGGTTATCACCACAGACAGAAGGAAAGATCACGCAAGCGCGCGCGCGCGCGTGTGTGTGTGTGTGTGTGTGTGTGTGTGTGACCATGCCTGAGGTTTAACCCCTCTGAGTCTCATCTCCTAGTCTGTCAATGAGTTCATCCACCATCCACCTCCCAGAGCTACTGTGAAAATCAAGCTATGTGACACTAACGAGGCCCTCACACGATGCCAACCGCATGGTGGGACCCCAACACAGGGCACTCACTGCTCACTGTAGGGACCCAGTCTGGTAGAGACATAGGCCATGGGAGCCGGAGGTCTTGCACCACCCTCCGATCTCCATCAAGCCCACTGGCCTGAGGGTGGGCCTGGAGGGGTGTGGGGAGGAGGAAGCCGGCTGGGGCACGGTGGGCAGAAAGCAGGCAGGAGGGAGAGGACAAGTGCGAGCGGGGAAGGGGTGTCGGGGCCGCCCACTCACTGCCGCTCCATCTCCTGCTGCTCCTGCAGGATCTTGTTGGACTCCATGGCCAAGTGCTTCTGCATCAAGAGCTCCTGCCGCTGCAGCTCGCGCTGCCGTACCTCTGCCTGCCGCTCTCGGTCCGTCATGAACAGCTCCCGGCCCTGGCGGGGATGGACGTGGAGAGGCCCCTTGCTCAGTCCCTGAGGGAACTGTCACAGCCTTGGAGACCAAGATGCAGTTGTTTTTTTTTAGCATTGTTCCCCTACCACCATCCCTACTGAGTCAGGCACGGGGTGGGGGGCGGGGGGGTCTCCTGTTCACCCAAACCTCAGCCCGCTTCACTCTGTTTTATCTTTAGGGAGTAAGGCCCAGAGGCCTTTCCCAGACACTTATGACAGAAAGCAGAGGACTGAGAGGCTGGGGCCAAGGTCAGAGTTCAGAGGTCATGCCCCCTCCCAACACCCCCTTCCCTCCTCCCGCCTCCCACAGTCCATTCTCACTTACAGCTCCAGCCACGATGGAAATGGTCAGGCTGCGACTACTCTTTAGTACGTTCACAGCCTGAAAGACAAGAAAGAACAAACAGGTGGTCAGCGAAAGCCTGACAGAGAGAGCAGAAAGTCTCAGAGGCTGTGGGCTGGGAGAAGGGCTGAGAAGAGGAGAGGAGAGATGATCACGGTCAGTGGGTGAGGACCCCCTCTCCCCTCCCCCTGCCCCGCATCACCCCATCGCACCTCTTTGTGGTCCAGGTTGGAGAAGTCGATGCCGTTTACCTCAACGATCTGGTCCCCTGTCTGGTGAAGAAATGCAAAGAGGGTGGATGTGTTTGCTGTCCCTTCTTCATGCACTCAACTGGAGCCAGGGACAGGCAGTAGGTCTTGCCATGGTTATATTTGAACCCTCACAATGCAGTTGAAAACTCTGATGCCCCCCAAACATAGGAATGCCCCCAAAACCTCATATCTGTCACCAGCTGCCAAATATTTTACCCTTAGAAGTTTGCTTCTTCCCCTAAACGCCTGATACTTTAATAAGTCACTTCTGGAAAAAGAAGCCCCTGGATTTCCTATAGAGCAGAAATAGTTACAGAGTCATAGTAATGGTTGATGTTATAGCTTCGTAGCTCATTGATCCCTTACAATGTGCCAGGCAAAATTCTAAGCATATATAATAATCCATTTGACTTATAATGGTCCCAGAAGGAAGATTATCTCTCACCCACCTTCATAGGAGAGAAAACATGCATAGAAACAGGAATTTGTCTAAAGCAATGGTTAAGAGTACTGGCATTAAGTTCCTCCTCTGGAAAGCAAGGATAACGATAGTACCTAATTCTCAGAATTCTTCTGTATTTTGAAAGGCTTAGAACAAAGTCTTTCCAGCAAACACACAGTGAATGCTAACTCTCTGACTATTGTTCGTCTATCCCCAAGCAATGGATCAAACGCTAAAGACCAGAGACTCAACTATCACCGCCTCTGTGAAACCTTCCCTTGGTGGATGAAGAGGAATCAAAAGCCGATACTGATGAGAGAGTATTGGCCAGGAAACCTCCCCATCGGCCCTCCCCATCCCAGCCTGACCCCACACGACACTGGGGCCCTAGCCCAAGGTCACTCACCTCCAGTCCCACCTCAGCTGACAGTGAGCCAGGCTTCACGCTGCTGATGAAGATGCCAGGTTTCTGGACGGGGCCGCTGGAAATGCTGCAAACGAGATGGGAAAGGCAGGTGAGCCCGGCTCTCTGTTGCTGGTCCGGTCCCAGTGTCTTGCCCCCTAAGTGCGTGTGTCTAGGTGCTCCAGCCCCTCAGGACACAGCCCACCCATAAGCACAGGACCAAAGAGCCTCTATTATCTACCGTCCAGCCTCAGTGCCCTACACAGCATGCAGACCACCACTTGTAATCCCTACTTCCCCTTGCCCACCATATTGTTTCTTCTCTCTTGCCAGCTCTTTTCAGGCCTTAAGACTCAAATGCTGGGCTGGGGTGATAGCACAGCGGGTAGGGCATTTGCCTTGCACGTGGCCCAACCCGGGTTCGATTCCCAGCATCCCATAGGGTTGCCCAAGCATGGCCAGGAGTAATTCCTGAGTGCATGAACCAGGAGTAACCCCTTTGCATCGCTGGGTGTGACCCAAAAAGCAAAAAAAAAAAAAAAATGACTCAAATGCTGCATATTTGTAAGGTTTTCGCCAAACTCCTATCTAACTGCCAGGCTTGGCTCCTTCCTTCTCAGTGCTCCAACAGCAAGGATGGTGCTTTCACCATTATTCTCCCCCTGTCCATCAGACATTACTAATCCATTCCAGCACTTCTATACCAAACTTGGATACAGCCTTATCCAGGCTGGACTCTTTTCAAGACTATTCCAGGCAGCCACTACTGATTGGTGACAAAGTATCGACCAGGAAACCTCCCCCTTGGCCCTCCCCATCCCAGAATGTAGCTCCATTAGAGTCCCTGTCACTCTATGTTATAGATACACAATTGGTCTCTCTCTGAGGCTGTAATCCTGAGCAAAGAGAGAATTTTTTTCTTTTTTGGGTCACACCTGGCGATGCACGGGGGTTACTCCTGGCTCTGCACTCAGGAATTACTCCTGGCGGTGCTCAGGGGACCATATGGGATGCTGGGAATTGAACCTGGGTCGGCCGCGTGCAAGGCAAATGCTCTACCGCTGTGCTATTGCTCCAACCCCGACTTTTGATCAGTTATGCTTCGCAGAGAAGTATTGGATAAATGTGAAGTAATGCCAAGAATAACCAAAATCATACTAGCTAATATTAACCTTCCAAGGTGCAGCCCTTTGTCCTTGTCATCTCCTTCCTCCTCTCAACAACCCAGTATGTGGGTATTATCGTCCCCAGGTTCTCTAGAGGCTGAGCCTGGTTCAGTGGCTAGTGTAAGGTTCCCGAGTGCAGAAGTGGCAGTGGCTGTGTCACAGTGGTGCCGAGGTGCTCAAAGAGCCCGGGATGGCCCAGGGCCTGACTGTGATTTCCGGCTGCCTTTGAAGGAAACTCACAAGGTAATAAGGGACAAGAGAACCAGGACAGATGACCAGCTGGACAGGCTCCTTTTAGTCCGGGAGAAGAGGAGCACAGGGACACTCCCAGGGGTCAGCCCCTTGGTGCAGGTATGATGGTCAGGGCTTGGCCCAGCTACCAAGGCCACACCTAGAGGTGCTGAGGGTCAAGCTCTGGAGCTCACACAGACAAGACGTGTGCTTCCCCCGCTGAGTTCTCGCTCCTGCTAGAGTTACTCAGAGTTCTCTGCCTTCAGGCCGGCTTCCTTACTTCTAAATGGGCCCATCAGAGGTGTCATTCTAACCCACAGTGTGAGACTCCAAGGGGAAATGCGCATCAAGAACCCTCGCCAGTGGAGAGGGAGAGGCAGGAGGGAGAGAGGGAGGCGCCCACCTGCAGCCAAGGCCCCGGGTGCCCACCAGGCTGATGAAGACCTTCTTCTCTTTGTTCTCCTGACTCCCGGAGGAGGCCCCGCCGCTCCGCACGCCCTGGAGGAGGGAGAGGACAGGGTTACTGGGGGGGGGGGGGAGGGGGCACGTGTGTGCAGGGGGTCCTGGGGACTCATGAGACCTTCCGGTCATCACTGTTGTCCCCATGAGCTGGTGCTCACAGGGTCTGGGGACACAGGGGGCGCTGTGTTGTCTGGCTGTAAGCCCAGGGCCCACGAAGGTTCCTGGGGAGTCTCTGGAGCACATCCCCAGAGCCAGCCACTCCTCCCAAACCAGGTGCCATCCCATATACACCCCATCCACACCCATCAAAGGGATCCTGGTCCTTACCCCAGATTCCGACACGAACTGATCCACATACTGCCACTTGAGAGGCTCATCAGGGCCGCTGAGGGGCAGAGGGGCAGGGAAAACAGAAGGGGGCTTATTAGGGAGGAGGGTTTGGACAGACCCCTGAGCCAGGTCTGTACCATCCGCAGCCTTCAGCCCCATTGGCCCCCCCATCCCAGGATGCTGTACCCCAATCCCAGCCCCACAAAGCCCCAAGTGCAGAGGAGGAGCAAGCTCACCTCTTCACAGGAATCAGGCCGATGTCTGTGGGAGAAAGGCACAGAGAGGTGAGGATGGCTCCTTGGGCATCCCCTCAGGAGTCAGAGCCCCAGCTGTACCCCCCATCAGTGACACCCCTCCACCCCGACACCCCACCCTGGCTCACTCACGTCTCACTTTGATGGACACGGTCTTCTTGGTGCGGATAAGGTTGATGACTTCCTCGTGGGTGCAGGAGGAGATGGAATAGCCATTGATCCGGACAATCTCGTCTCCAACCTTTGGCCACAGACAGAGAGAACCGGCACTGGGTCAGGGCCTGCCCTCAAGGAAAGGGGCATGGCCCTGCCTGCCTTCAGTCTAAACCTCGATACACACCCGAGGGCCGCTTTGCTGCTGTGATACACGTCCCATCAGCCTGATACCTGGGACAGTGGATGCTTGCAGCAGCCTGTGCTCCCCTCTGGGCAGACAGAATCACTGAGGTGGGGGCTGTTGACTTGGACTCTGTAGTAGCCCCCACTCCAGAGTCCCCCTGACTGCACTGAGGGGCGGGAACCCGCCAGGTGTGGGAATCTATCAAATGGGTGACTTTCACCTAGATTCCAGCAGCTGAATCTTTGTCACACCCCTGACCTTTGTATCTTTGTCACCCCTCCCTGACCAGCAGGCTTCCTGGTCTATTCAGGTGCAGGATAACTGGGGGAGAGAGGATTGTTCATGACTGTCACTTGACTCTAGCTTTTAACACACACACACACACACAGACTCACATTCACACACACCAATTATCTCTCTCACACACACATCAACTCTCACACACAAACTCTCACAGAGTCTCTAGATTATCTATCACACACTATTAACTCTCTCTCACACACACTCTAGTTTATTTCTCTTACACACACACACACTGACTTTCACACACACACACACACACTGTCTCTATCTTTCACACACAGTCTCTCACACACAGACTCTAGTTTTTCTCTCTATCACACACACTCTGACTCTCACAGTTTATCTCTCTCCCACACACTGACTCATTTCTCATTCTCTCTCACACACACAAACATACACACACACTGTCTCTACTTTATCTCTCACAAAACACACACTGTCTCTCACACATAGTTTATCTCTCTCTCACACACTGACTCAAGTTTCTCTCACCCCTCCCCCCCACACACACGCTTTTCTTCCACTCTAAGCAAAAGAGATGAGCTTTATTTTAACTCTGCCTCAGCCTGCCCTCTGTATTTCTTTTCTAGGGGTGAACATAGGGCAGCAACTGAGCACGGGCATTAACTGCTCTGGGGCCACACCCTTGCTCTTACTCTTAGGAGTTGTGTGACCATGGCAAGTCTCTTGACCTGTCGCCTCTGTTTTCCTTGTCTGTAAAATGGAGGCAACGCAGAGGTTGCCATGCAAATACAGCGACAGTGTGCGTGTAAAGCTGGCCCTGGACACAGTAAGTGGCCCACATGTGGTGCTGTCTTTTTCACTGGCTGAGCCTGGGCCCTCGGCTCTTGCTGGGATCCCGCTTCTGGGAGCCTGATCATAACGGGAGAGATGAGGGCTACATTGGGCCGGGCAGCAGGCATCATGGATGGATTCATGGTGAGACCACACCCCCTACTGGACACTGCTGGGGTCTTCCTGGAACACCAGTCTATTCCTCGGGTCCTGACTGTGGGGCAGTAAGGAGCCTCAGAAACAAGGTGAAACTGAGGCACAGGGAGATGAGGCTCTTGTCCAAGTAATTAGCCGCAGAGCAAGGGCTAGTTCCTGGGCTCCCCATCCTGCCCAGGCCAGTGTAGATTAGCCAGGGTGGCACCCCACAGATGCAGACCCTCTGAAGATGCTGGTTTATTGGTTTGGGGGACATACCCAGTGGCGATCAGAGCTTACTCTTAGCTCTGTGCTCAGAGATCGTTCCAGGTGGAACATGTGGGATGCGGGGATTGAACCTGGGTTGGCTGCATGCAAGCTAGTGTCTTACCCACTGTACTATCTCTCCCACCCATGAAGATGCTGGTATAGGGGGAGGGGTGGGAAACTCAGGGGTCGACTCTGTGGGGGGATAAGTGGGGAGGCACATAATTAGTTCTTGAAGGGGTCCTCAAGACTAGCTCCACTTACTATAACACCCCTGACTCACATTGAAAATGCCACCCAAGTCCTTCTCATCTGGGCCTGGACACAGGCCTCAGGGTTCTCAGGGCACTAATAGGAGAGACCAGAGGCCCTGAGAGGTGCAGGGAAAAGGGCTCTGGAAAGTGCTTTCTAGGTTCCTGAGGAAAAGAGCCACAATAGCTAATGCCACCCACTTTTCATGAGCATCTCTGAGAAGCGGCCCACCTCCTCCCACACCCCTGAGGGTTAAGATCCTGTCTTCTCGAGACCACGAGTGCTGTCTCTTCAGCGCTGGGAAGCAGGAAAGAGGGGCACTTGTTCAGGCGCGGCTGCGGGTCCCTGCATTCTATCTGCCCTGTCTGTATCCTCGACGCGGTCAGCGTCCTCAGGTCCCACAGGGAAGGGAGAGGTTACGCTGCCCATTTCACCGCTGGGACACCAAGGCCCAGATACTCTCTCTCTCTCTCTCTCTCTCTCTCTCTCTCTTGCATGCTCACTCTCTCTGGTCTCTCTCCAGATACTCTCTCTCTCTCTCTCTCTCTCTGGTCTCTCTCTGGGTACAAAGAATGACTCCTGTCTGGGAGGGGGCAGATGGGGTGCGCTCACACACAAACACTCCAGCAGAGGACAGAGCAGAGAGCGAGCATACCTGACTGGGGCGCTAAGGGTGGGCCCAAGCCCCAGGCCACTGTCCAGCCCCACCAGGGCCTTCTGTCGCACCAGGCAGAGTCTGAACCTGCTCCTTCGCTGACTTTTAGAATCTTCTCCCCATTACTATCAGGCCCAAAAGCTCCCCCAGAAACCTAACCCCAACACAGTTGATCTCAGTTTGGTCACCACAGATGCTCTCTTGAGTCTGGCAGGAATGATCCCTGAGGACAAACCAGGAGTGATCCCTGAGGACAAATCAGGAGTGATCCCTGAGCACAAAACCAGGAGTGATCCCCGAGCACAAAGCTAGGAGTGATCCCTGAGCACAGAGCCAGGAGTGATCCCTGAATACAGAGCCAGGAGTGATCCCTGAGCACAGACCACATATGGTCTTTTGAGTCTGGCAGGAGTGATCCCTGAACACAAAACCAGGAGTGATCCCTGAGCACAAAACCAGGAGTGATCCCTGAACACAGAGCCAGGAGTGATGCCTGAGCACAAAGTGAGGAATAAACTCTGAGCACTGCTGGGTGTGGCCCAAATAACCAAAAAAAAAAAAAAAAAAAAAAAAAGGAAACCTAATCCCAGACAGGTCCCTGTATTCAGCTGTACCCCTGGAGGTGGGGGAGGCTCCCAAGCTCCTCTGAGAAAGGGTCCCTGTCTTGTTCCTACAGAGAATGTGCCCGGGACCCTAGTCACATGGATCCGCACACACAGACCCCGGCTCAGGTGGCAGGATCCTCTTTCCTCCCCTGCCAGGCTTGCGGGGAGCCCTGCCAAAGGCGCTTTGTCCCAGGGCCCCGTGAGATGATGACCCGAGGTCAGGGCACACGGAGAGTGAGGGGGCCTGGTGGCCCAAGGAAGCACCCGCTGCTCCTGGGCCTGGGAAACCGAGTCTCAGGAACGTGCCCCCACCCGGGCTGAGAAGTGTTTGTCTGAGGTGGCGGGCTCGCCCCTGGAAAAAAGAGGGCCTGGGGGACAGCAGAAGAGAAGCTCATTATATCTCTTCTCTGGCCGAGTTTCTGGGCTGGAAAATGTGCCGCCCAGGAGAGGAATAATGAAGAGGCTGAAATTTCAGCCGCTGCCGGCAGCCGTGAGACCGGGATTGAGAACAAAGTCGCGTCTGTCAGCTCTGTCCTCCGTCTCCTGTACCATATCCCTAGGCCCCCTCACCCCCCCGAGGACCCCCGCTTGGCATGGAGGATTAGGATGTTGATAATCAGCGCCAGGAGGGGGCAGGGGTGGGGCCGAGGGGTGCTTTTATCGGCGCATCAGGAACGCAGTCGTGGGCTAGGGCTGCAGGGAGCTGGCGCCCAGCCCATCTTTGCCAACCCTGGCAAAGAGGGACTCCTGGGTGCTGAGGAGACATCCGGGACTGTGAGGTCTGGGGTCCAATCCTGGCTTGGCCACTCACTGGCTAACACTCTAGTCATGCCCCTGAGTCTCTACCGAGTCTGAGAAAGGGGCGGGGGTGGCCCAAGGGGACATGCGGAGATGTGACCGCCAGCACGTGAGGGGCCAGAGCTCTGCCTCTCGGCCAACTTGACCCAACCCTCGGCTGCCCGGCACCTCCCCAGAGAGGCTCTTTATATGTCAATTCACCGTCTCCTTGAAGCTGGCCAGTCTTTTCATCACCCCCATTTCACAGATGGGAAAACCCAGAAACTGGGTGGGGTCATTTCACCAAAAAGCCAAACAACTCAAGGAAGAGCAAAGGCAGGCCAGTCTGACCCCGGAGTCTCTGCTCTGAAACCCCGCATGGTCCCCCTGGGGGGCTTCCCTTTTCCGTTCTAATTTAGGGCTGTGCATTCCACACAGAGGGATTTTGGGGGGGGGGGGGGGAAAGGGGTGTGGCACGGTGACAGCTGGGAGCCAGGCTCCAAGTAAGAATAAAGGGGACTGGTCCCTAGGTCCCCAGCCTGACTCCTATCGGCCTGAGGAAAACCTGTCAGCATGAGGCACGTTTCCTGAGAGCCCGCCAAGGCTCTACTAGACCAAGGGAATATGTTAGAGGATCTTGAGTATGAGGGGGTGAGGAGCCAGGAAACCAGCCTGCACACACACACCCCAAACACACACCCAGCCCTGGCCTCCCGGCCGCCATCTCCTCACCTGGAGCCCAACGCTGTCTGCCTGCCCACCCTTAATGAGGTGGGAGATGAAGAGGCCACAGCCGAACTCCAGGCCCCCGCGCACGCTGAGGCCCAGGCCTTCGGGGTGCAGGCGGTCCAGACGTACCTCCTTCAGCTTCCTGCCGTGGTGTGAGAGGTGGTTCACACTCTGTCCACTCTTGAGGTGGCCCCTGTCCACCCCGGGGCATCCCCCGCCTCCCATCACCCCCCTCCCCTGCCCCCACCCACTCCTGGCCTGGGAGGTGGTAGGGGGCCGCCTGGCACACCTGGAGCGCCGGGGGGTGAGCTGGTCGTACTCCACCTGGTGCTTCAGCGGGATCAGGGGCCGGATGGCATCAAACAGTGGCAGGCGGTTGGGCTCATTGATGACCAGCTTCAGGTCCCCCACCAGCACGACCACATCCATGGTCCTGTGAAGACGTAGGGTCATGTGACCTTGGCCTCTAAGATACTCCCAAGGTTGGCAGTGGACTAGCCCAGTATCGGGCCAACCCTCCTCCGGGCCTAGGCCTGGGAGTGGAGGAGACACTGGAAAATTCATGAGCCCCCAACTCTGGGCCGCTGGCCTCAAGAGGGGCCGTCTTGTTTCCTAGAACTCTCGAAAGGCGAGCACCTAAGATCCAGCCAGGATCCCAACAGTTCCCCCTGGATCCCAGCCCAGGATCTTTCCAAAGAGTAACCCTCTGGACAGGGGGGCTAGCTGAGACCTTTCTCATGCCTAAGGCTCCCTCCCTGGGGTGCTGCATGAGGCTCCTCAGTCCTTCCTTCCCATGGTCTTACCCACACTTGCCCCTCATGGTTGGGACCCTGGGAGTCTTAAGCCCAGCCACAGACTTGCTCTCATGCAATCTTTTCTAAACCTCAGTTACTCCCCCTCTGAACCCCAGTGAAGGCCCCATGGCCTGGAGCTGGTCATCTCTTCTCTCGGACTGGCTCGGGAACCACTGTCGGCTCGAGGCTGCCTATGGCCCCTGTGTGTCCTGACTTCTGTCCCACCCCACCCCTCCCTTTTGCACCCTGTGCTTTCATGCCCCTTCCCCTGTGCTAGGCCCATGGCTCCTCTCTGGACCCCACCCCCACCCCCACCCCCACCCCCGAGCCTCCTGACCCAGGCGCGGAGGCCTCCTGGTCATCCCCTGCACAGGTGGAAGAGAACATTCCTGGCTGTTAGGGCAGTTCCGTTAGAGTTCCGTGTACTTTCGGTGTCTAAGCCGCCAGGACTACTTCCAGCCCCCATGAGACCACAGTAGTAAAGGAAAGAAGTAGAACTCATACTATTATATAGAAGCAGAACTCATTCTACTATTCTACTACTAGAGCCCACCTATGTGGTACCCAGCGGATGCCCAGGAGTTGATAAGCACATGCTGAATGGGTCCCGAAGCAGGTGGGAGACGGTTGACACAGTGCTGGGGCCAGCAGGTCTCTCTCTTGAACCTAGCTGCCCACTGGCCAGCACCGGACTGTGAGCACCCTAAGGGTGGGCTGTTTTACTCTCCCCTGGGCCCCTGTCCCCAGCACTGGGCCACACACAGAACATTTGTGAATAGTGGGTGCAAGGATTCCCTGGAGTACGGGCTACCTGCCTTCCCGTGCTCCCTGTGACAAACAAAAGGCAACGGCCCTCCCAGCTGCCAACAATCCAGTAGGGTCCTCAGAAGACAGAGGCAGGGGTGGCCGCGGGGGGCTGAGCCCCAAACACTTACTGGTGGTAGATCCGCAGCACGTCATAGAGGTAGTCCTTCTCGGCGTCATTTTCAATCAGGAAATCCACCTGGAAAACCCAAGGGCAGAATTACAGCTCCAGACCCAGCACCCTCTGGTAGACTCCAAGGAGTGGGGGGCACCTCAGGGACCTCCCCGGGAGGACAAGCCGGGGGTCAGAGAGGACCTCTGAGTCCAACACCAGCCCTTGAGGTGGCAGGACAAGCCTTATCCTGAGCCAGGGACAGGCAGGCATATAGAGACACCAGTGCCTGTCCTAGCTGCGGCCCTCCCCACCGCACCCCCATGACTCACTAATAGGGGGGACGAGGCTAGAGTCTGCGCTCAGTGTGGCAGACGCCCTCCCTTACCTGACAGCGGCTGTAGTGCCGGACGGCGGCCCTCAGGAAGGATTTGGGCCAATCGCTCGCATAGCACATCACCCCCTCCCACCAGGCGCCCCCCACCCCAGAGTTTCTGGGTCAGCAGCAACAGCCCCGCCCTGCCCCGACCTGACTTAAGCTGGGCTGGTCAGACTTCTGTCCACTAGTCCCCTCCAGTAGGCCCCACATGCCACCCCCCCAACCAGGCCACAGGAGGGGAGAATCAGGTTACATCATTTCAACTTTGCTGACGTCAGTGGCTGTGCCTCTAAGGCCAGGGTCAGGAGCTGTTTCATTCGCACCTGGGTCCCAGGGGTGCTGGTGGATTCAGAGCCCCAGATTCCAGGCCCTGCCTCAGCACAGTGTAAAGCTCCAGTGAGTGTGTCCTGGCCGCTCTCAGGTTCAAGGCGGAGTGGGAGGGCTCAGGGGAGGCCTGAGGCACGGCTGGGTCAGGCCCATCATGGTCCCAGCCCTTGGTCTATCCCCCAGCATGAGGAGATGCTGCTGGGAGCTGGGAGCCCCTGCCCTGTGAGGTGGGGGTTGTCAGGGGACAGGGTCTCTCTGGGCATCGCAAGGATTCTGGAAGGCAGAAGGCAGAACCCCCCCCCGCCCCGCCCATCCCCACCCCCATAGGGAGAGGTGGACATGCTGGGTACAGCCTTCAGAATTGCCGGCCTGGATGGGGGAGCACATGCAGATTCCTGGCCTCCACTGGCTGTGCCCTGACCCCGTAAAATCAGCAGAATGTTTCACCAAAGATGAGATTCAGGGGCTGGAGTAATAGCACAGCGGGTGTTTGCCTTGCATGCGGCCGACCCGGGTTCGATTTCCAGCATCCTATACGGTCCCCCAAGCACCGCCAGGAGTAGTTCCTGAGTGCAGAGCCAGGAGTAACCCCTGTGCATTGCTGGGTATGACCCCCCCCCCAAAAAAAAGATAAGACTCATTCTGGAGGCTTAAGTCTCCACAGACCCATGGCTCAGGCTTGTGCGAGTATAGAAGTTTCCTCTCCTGCTTTTCTCTCTGTCCCTGTTTCACGATCAGGCCTAGCACCACCAGCCTACTTAAAATTTGAGGATGGGGCATCTGCTTTCATGGGTGGCACGCTGGACTCTGACATACCCAAGGGGGACACAGCCAGCCTGCTCTCCGCCCCTACCTTGGCAGTGTGAGAGGGTGTGGGGGGCTGTGCCCAAAGGCCAGGGATACCCACATTTGAAATCTGAGTAGAGGAAAAGTCTGGCCTGTCTCTCTACCCTGAGTCAGAAATATCTGTGTAGATGGGGTCGTATCACCTGTTTGCATGATTTGTGCTCAACACAAAACCTATTTCCCAGCTCCTTAGGTTGCCTTATCAGAACCCACCTTCACCTCCCGCCACTCTTCCTGTCCCTCCTTTCAGTGCTCCCCGCAGGCCAACCTGCTCCGGCCTCAGGGTCTCGGCACCAGCTGGTCCCTCTGCCCAAATAGCCCATCCCGGGGGCTGGAGTGATAGCACAGCAGGTAGGGTGTTTGCCTTACATGCGGCTAAACCGGGTTCGATTCCCAGCATCCCATATGGTCCCCTGAGCACCACCAGGAGTAATTCCTAGGAGTGCAGAACCAGGAGTAACCCCTGAGCATCGCCGGGTATGACCCAAAAAGCAAAAAAAAAAAAAAAAATAGCCCATCCCAATCCCCACGGCGAGCCTACATCTGTGCTCACCTACCAGCCATCTTCCATCTCCTGAGATGGTCCAGTTCCTACCTGATGACTGATTTTTAGGAAGGGAAACTGGAGGTGGGGGTGGGTGGGCGCAGGGCAGCACAACTGACTTGCTTAGGTCTGTGCTCAGGGATCACTTCCTGCAATGCTCAGTCTACAGGGGTTACTCTTGGCTTTGCACTCAGGAATTACTCCTGGCAGTGCTCGGGGGACTATATGGGATGCTGGGAATCGAACCCGGGTAGACCATGTGCAAGGCAAACACCCTACCCACCGTGCTATTGCTCCTGCCCTTCCCTCCCTCCCTCCCTCCCTCCCTCCCTCCCTCCCTCCCTCCCTCCCTCCCTCCCTCCCTCCCTTCCTTCCTTCCTTCCTTCCTTCCTTCCTTCCTTCCCATGCTCAGCCTTAATATGTGGTGCAATGCAGGGGGGGAGGGGTTGATGGGAGGGAAACTGGGGACACTGTTGCTGAGAAGAGTACACTGGTGGAGGGATGGGTGTTGGAACACTGTATGACTGAAACCTAATCATGAACAGCGTTGTAATCGTCTATCTCAAAGTGATCCAATAAAATTTTATATAAAAAATTATGTGGTACCAGGGATTGAACCCGGGTTGGATGCATGGAAGAAGAATCCCTTAACTCCTGTACTATCTCTTCAGCTCCTCTCTTCACAACAGTGTGGGGTGACAGAAAACCCCAGACAGCAAGGCTGAGGTCTTTTTGCTCGAAATTCCTTGGACTGGCAGGTGGGAAGTGGTCCATATGTCCGTATAGAATGGATGTGTCCCCTGCGCTGTCTGGTGTACCCCCACAATCAGATGGGAGGAAGGGGGTCGGGTCGGAGACAGGAGTAAGGCCACTGTGCTCACAGCATCCTCATGAGGCAGCACCGCCAGCTTGGCCTGGCCTTTCTTCCCTATGTTTTTCTCCCCAGTCACCCCACCACATAGGCTGACATTCTCACGCCTTTTCACAGATGAAGATCAGAGAAATTAAGTCCATCTCCCTCGAGGATTGCTTAGCTAATTGCTTAGCTAATCAGACTGTGAGGATGGAGGTCCGGGTCCACCTGGGTCCAAAGCCCATGTTCCTCCTGTGACCCCAACATGTGAGTTAGACCTTCCAGGGCCACCCCAAGCCAAACTTGCAGGCCCTCTGCTTTCAAGAGGCTGCTCTCCGGGTCTGGTTTCCATCTCTCTCCTTGGGCTGGGACCCCCTTGAGCAAGAGCCCAGACTATCCGCAGGAGCACTGGACATTCGGACTCTCTGTTCTGGGTGGGGTGAGGATGTCCAGTGAAAAGGCTCCTGGGTTCATTCCAGATGTGGGTGGTGACAGTGGACAAAGGAGAGGGGAGGGATCCAGGAATGGCTTGAGCTCTCCCTCATCCTGCCCTGCAGAAATGTTCCTCCCAGTCCTGTGGGCAGCCTCCAGTGCTGACCCTGTGTCCCCAGGCCCAGACCACAATCCACCTCCTCTCAGTGTCTTGCTGGGACAGTCTCACTGTAGGCTCATTAGCCCAACATCACTGGTGCTGTCCTGCCACCTTCCTCCACATCTCATCTCAGCTCTGCCCTTTCCATTGGCTCCCGTCCCCAGTGTCCCGGCTGGTCACAGTCCCGCGGCCCCTTCTTCCAACACATGGGCACCTCCTGTCTTTGCTCAGAACCTCCCTTCCACCTCTAAACAGCTGATTCCTCAATTAACAGTAGTCTATATGCCTCTACAGCTGGGAAAACAAACCTGGTTTGTAAAAAAAAAACTCTTTAAACAGGGAGAGATGGCCAGGGGATGGCTCCAAAGGCTGGATCTTGTGGTTTATTCCATCCCTGGTACTGCACAGCCCCCTGAGCACCACTGGAAGTGACCCTGAGCACTGTGTGGGCAGTAGTCCCCAAGCACCATTGGGTGTGCCCCCCCAACCTTAAAAAATATGAGTCTAAGCGAGAAATTAAAGTGGAGGCATTGTGGGAATCATGACTGTTCCCCAGTTTGAGAAATGCTCAGAGATGCTCAGGGATGACAGCTGTGTTCTCTGGGCGCCTCGGAGTGAGCACGGGGCCCCTTCCAATTTCAGAAGGATTAATAATTCTTAAACATTATCCACGGAGTTAATAATTGTTAAATGCTCAGGACAATGTCTGATAAGGAGTAAGTCATGTTGGTTCAATAAAGTTCAGTTAAGCATAATGGAGTATGAATTCTCTGTGTTTGGTGGACGTGATCCCTCCAGAGACTGGTGGTACAAAGGGATCTAGCCATCCCTCTGCCCGGAGGCCCATCGAGAGGGGACCAGCCTTATGTCACTCTTATAGGATCCTTTATCTTTTCAAGAGCAGGGAGTCCTTCTACCCAGCTGGTGCCAGTGAACCCAGTCTCCTCCTCCTGCTTCTCCTGCCTGACAGGCTGTTCCTTATTTTTGTTTTTGAAGAGGGCTCCCAGGCTCTGTCCAACTGCACTGTTTCCTCTGTCTTTCTCTTTTTATTTATTTATTTATTTTTTGCTTTTTGGGACACACCCAGCAATGTACAGGCATTACTCCTGGCTCTGCACTCAGGAATTACTCCTGGTGGTGCTTCGGGAACCATATGGGATGCTGGGAATCGAACCTGGGTTGGATGTGTGCAAGGCAAATACCCTCCCCACTGTGCTATCACTCCAGCCCCCCTCCTCAGCCTCTTGAAGGTTGAAGCACTGTTTACAACCCAGGCCTCGCCAAGACTGATCCCCAGCACAGACTTCCCTAGACACGAGACTCGACAATCACAATCCTTTTCTACTCTTCTCTGCTTGAAGGTCCCAAAGGCCACTGAACTGGAATCATGCCATGGAATTCTTGGTATCCACCATCTCATCCCCATTCCACCTGCTCCTCCTCTCCCTACTATGACCCCTCTCTCCACACACACAAACCATCAGCCAAGCCTGATGGGTCTACCTGGTCCCAGCCCCCACCTGCACCCTGGGCAGCTGCAGGAGCCACAGACTGGTCGGCCCCTTTGTTCCTTCTCTGACCTCAGCCTGCAGACTGTCATCACCAACATCTGTTTGAAAGGTAAACCAAGCCACACCATGCCCCAACTAGACAGGGCCTCAGCACACTCAGAACAAAAGACCAGGTGCTGACTTGAGCCCACTTGGCCCCCAAACAGCCCTTTGAGTCACTTTGCTTTTTTTTTTTTGTCACACCCGGCAATGCACAGGGGTTACTCCTGGCTCTGCACTCAGGAATTACTCCTGGTGGGACTCAGAGGACCATATGAGATGCTGGGAATTTAACCCTGGTCGGCCGCGTGCAAGGCAAACACCCTACCCGCTGTGCTATTGCTCCAGCCCCCTCTGAGTCACTTTGGCCTCCACTACCCATCAGTGCTTCTCCAGGCTTCTGGGCTGTTTCTGGGGAAGGCAGGCACGCGGAGCCTCGAACCTTCACTCTGCTGTTCACTCTTCTGTGCCTGTCCCCATGGTGCCCTTCCTCACTTCTTCTGGCTCTCTGCTCAGGTACCAGCTCTCCAGAGAGTCCAGGGGCTACTTCTGACTCTGTGCTGGGCTGGGGGGACCACGTGGTGCTGTGGACTGAGCCACGATTAGCTTCATGTGAGGCATTGACCCCTATACTATCTCTCTGATCGCTCATCCCAGTTGATTTTTTCATGCCGTCATCACTACTTGACCTTCCCTGATACTTGTATTGATTTACTAGTCAGCTGCCTTTCCCGCTAGAAAGAGAACTTTGTGAGAACAGAAACTCTGTTTCCTTACTCACTGGACAATGTCCGGCCCACGGAGCTCAGTCCAGAGTGATTGCTTGTCTGAATCAATGAATCAACAAAGGACTGATTAGCAAGTCCCTCAAAGGCAGGGGTTCTCTCTGATCTTCTTATTTTCCCGACCACACAGCCTCACCCCTCACCCCGAGATGCCTGGCTTGGGCAGGGTTCACCCTAGAGCCTCATAAATGCACAACTGCTGAATAGGCAATAAAAACATTTTTGAGCAAATGAGTAACCAAGTTCCTGCCATCTGTGGCTGTCATTTCTTGAGACTATTTCCTCCCTCTGCCTGTCCTCTGTTGTTGTTGCCACTGTGACTGGGGGTCCCACACACTGGGTGGCAGTGCATCCATCATAGATGGCCTGGTTTGTGGTTGCACTGCTGGCACACACAGGGGACGCTGGGGGGTCTGAAGTCAATGCCTGCAAGGCAGGTGCTCTACTGCTCTACTCTGAGCCCTGGCCGCAGCCCTGGACAGGTTTCATTACAAATACTGCTTCTCTGGGGGCGGTGGGGGGGTGGGGAAGGGAGTCTTCATCTCTGATGTCCCCCTACCCTCCATTTGGTAATTGGACACAAGGGTATTACCAAGGAGGGCATGCAAATGCTGCTGGGGGCCGTGGGGGCCGTACAGGTATCAAGGAGCAGACACTGGGTGCTCTGGAGCCATCACTGGGAACTATGGCTGGTGCCCGCGTCCCTTGGAGGCAGGACTTCAAATCCCATCTAGTCCTAACTGCCCCAGGAGGTCAACACTGCCAACCTGTTCTCACAGCTCAAGAGACTAAAGCTGGAGAGATGAAAGGGCTCATCCGAATGAATGATTGGGTTGAGATCGGAACCCAGTTCTAACTGAACACAAGAGACCACAGAGAGCTCTTGGTGGAGACCCACTAAGTGGCATGGAGCATTTTCTCCCTACACACATATACAGCTCATCCAGCATGCACATTAAACTCATTAAACACATTAAACTCACTAGTAAAACATCACTGTCATCCTCATTAAACAAAGGAGAGAACCAAGGCACAGAGAGGCTGATAACTTGCTGAAGGTCATGAAGCACTTTCCAAGACAACACACCACCTTCATTGCCACCCCTAACAAGTGAGGATTTTTGTTAGAGACTCTTCCCAAGGAAGAGATTTATTCTGATTCACCAAAGATGTGTCTAGAAAGCAAGACAGCCAGTCTGTGTATCTCCACCTCCATCTTCCTTTCTCCCCAGGCTCTCGACAATCGCCTCTCTGGGAGAGAAGGAGAGGGGAGCTGCTTCCTTGGAAATAGCAGGGCACAAAGTCCAGTCCCGGCCTCACCCAGCACTGTGTCAGCCCCGCCTGCACCCAGGTTACTAGGTAATAACCCGTGATGAGGAAGAGAGGGTAATGGAAACAGAGAGCCGAGGCACCTTGGAACCTCCTGGGGAGAGAAACAGAAGAGACCCCACAGCCAGGTTGACACCCATCACTGGGACCCAGAATGCAATTCTCTCCAAAGAAGCAAAAAACAGCTCTCCCCACCGGAAGAAAACAAGAGGACCTGGCCTGACTTTCCATCCAGGGGGCAGAAAAGTGAAATTCAAGCCTGAGTCGGGGAGGGAAATCGGGGGGGGGGGCGTGCTCCCTCAAAGTGGGCTGCCTGAAACCTGCCCTCAACCTGTCTCCTCAGTAGCCGAAACGTCTCCCCTTACAACTCCATGGAACAGTACGCACCCTGAACTCCGCCTCGTGCTGGCCTCACTCTGTCTGTTTGCCAGCCTGTCAACTCCAGCTGAACCCCAGCTCTCTCTCACCCCTGCAATGCCCAGGCCCCACTGAGAGGCTTCGGCCAGGATGAACTACCCCCTCAAACCTAACCCCTGCACTCGGCACCCATGCGTGTGTGTGTGTGTGTGTGTGTATGTGTGTGTGTGTGTGTGTGTGTTTGTGGGTGTGTGTATTTGTGGGTGTGTGTATGAGTGTGTATATGGTATGTGTGTGTTTATGCATGCGTGAGTGTGTGTATGTATGTGTGTGGTATGTGTGTTTGTGTGTGTGAGTATGTATATGTGTTAGGGTGGGTTCTGCCTCCCACCCACACTACCAGCAATTTGAGAGCACCGCTTGGTGGCTCTGGTACCAAGTGGGTCTTCAACACACTTACTAAATGGATGGTGATCCCTGACCCCTTGTTCCATGCCCCAGTTCTTTCCCCCTGTGGTCCTCTATAATGCTGAACTCCTTGGGGATCCCTGGGCCTTTCTGGGGGGGGAGAGGTAAGAGACCTGACCTTGCCTATCTGAACTCATTGCCCCTGGGCCAGGGAAAGGGTTTGTCTTGGTCTAAAGATCCTACCATCTTGGGCTCTGTCTGGGTCCACCCTTGGGCACATGGTGACAAGTTGTGAGGCCCCCAGAACCCCCTGAGCTCTGTCTGAGTCATTTGAAGGCCTGGGGGAGGGGAGGGACAGTAAGGGAAGAGGATCCTCAGAGGTCCTCCCTGGCTACAGGATCTCAGCGAATCCAAAAAGACTTCTAGAAAAGTCTTAGATGAAACCCAGCAACTCTGAGCCAGGACCCCCGACACCCCACCTGAGGCCCTCTACACAAGGACACAGCAGGGGCCACTCCTAGCTGAAGATCTGACTGACTCTGGGCCCCTCCCTGTAGCTCAGACCCAAAGAAATACTCTCAGGTGGGAAGGAACTTCTCTGGGGAGCTTCTAGGTTGTGATAGGAGGAACAGGACACCGACCCCCAGTTCCCCTTCCTACAGAGCCTCCCCGCTCCATCTGCTCAACAGCCCTGAGTTGGAGAGACAACAGGAGAAAAGAGGGGACTTGTCTGCTTTGGGCCTTCTCGGAGAAGTGCCCTATCTCAACCCTGGCCCAAGCCGGGAGCACTCCCCAGCCCCTGGCGGGCAGAAAGAGGAAGCCCCTTTCAGGAGTTCACTTCTGTCTGCCACCCCCACACCTGCAGCCAGTCCCCTTTTCCAGGCCCCTCCCCGCCAGGACCCACAGGATCCTCGGGGGAGACACCCAAAGCCGCTCCAGCTCCGCTGGGAAAGGCAGGAGAAGCCCCAAAGGGTGTCCATGTCCCCCATCCCCCCGCCTGGGACTCTAGGGTCCTGGGTGCCCAGTGTGGGGTGGTGGGCTAGCAGCTCTGACCTTGTGCCGGAATTCTCGAGCCACCTTCCGGTCCATGGCTGGGCCGGATCGAGCAGAACTCACTCCTAGGGTGCTGGGGCTACCGGAGCCGGCAGGAGCGACAACCGTGACGGGCAGGCCCTCGGCGGTGGAGGCGGGGCGGGGCCTATGGGGCGTGAGGCGGGGCCTGGGGCGGGGCAAGGGCCTATGGGCGGGGAAGAAGCCTGGGGAGGGGCGGAGCCTATGGGACGGGAGGAGTGTCTCCGGAATCTCAGAGCATCCCTAGGGACGCATACCTGTCCCGCTCCGTTGCAGGGAAAACTAATTGGCCAAAATGTGTGTCATTCCGGTGGCTGCACTCAAGGCTGATGCTCCTTTGGGGATGTTCCCAAACACACGCGGGTGGAATTGGGGACCCTTTTCTGTTCCAGTCCGAACATACACCAGAGCGGGCTGGGACTGGGTAAGCCTATAGGAGTGCATCTACCCTCCTGAAGCTGTCACAATTGTCACAGGTATCTCACCTTTAGGTACATCCCTGGTGTTGCGTCTGTGCCCCTTTTCCACTAGGAAAAAGTCTTTAATCTGTGAATTCTCTGGGGCCAGGTCTACTTATGGCTAACTGACTTGAATCAGTTAAGCCAGTTAAAGTAACTCAACCAAAGTTTGCCCAGGTCATGATAGGTCTAGCACTGGACTTTAAAGACAATGAGCAAACAAGCCTGGGATGGACTGAGTAGGAAGAGGGAGACAGGAAAGGGGTGGTAAAACCAGAATATTTTTGCTTATGAAGCCCACGCCTTGAATTTACCTACTTGCACCATGTCAGGACACAGGAGAGGGAGGAGAAAGAACAGAAGGAGGTGGGGGGAACGGCAGTGGAAATCAACAAACAACTTAAAATGCACACAGTGACCTCCTCTTTGTATTCTCCTTTGATAACTGAGATTTTGCCAGCAGACGATTTGTATTTGAACAAATAATTGCCTTATTTAAGGCATGATTCACTGCTGGAGAAGAAACTTAAGATAGATCCACATTCTTATCTTTATTTCAATTAGTTAAGTGAGAGTTCAAGGAGAGAGAGTTTCCAGCTCTTCAGGAAATTGTCAGAATTTTTCAATTTTTCAGGAAAGACACATGTAATAGGTTCCCTTGCAACAGATGTGAGAAACTTCTTCATTTCTTAAAGATGTCACATGGCTCTTTATTTTCTAATTAGAATGCAGGTGTATCGGCACCTGACCAGACTCTCCTTTATAAAATGTTTTCTTTTTCTTTTGAGGATAGCATTGACTCCTGGTTCTTGTCTCCCATGAAAATTCCTTTTCAAGCTCCTTGTGAGGCCACCCTCCCTTTTCTCATTCCTTAACCAGTATTTTAAGGCTCTCTCCTTAGCTTCCTTCTCTTCACTTTCCCATCTGTGTCTAGTTTGTGACCCTCCCCACTTCCTCCTGCCCCCCCACCCCCTTTTCTCGGGATCCTCTCCCTGCTGTCCCCATGTCCCCCCACAAACCTCTCTTTCATCCTCTTTCACCTACCCAAGATCTTCCCTCCCCCAGTGCACACCCTTCTGGAACTGGGGAAAGGGAACCTCACTTGCTACCCACCTCTGTGTGGGGATAGCTACGTGTGCTTTATTTGCCAAGAAAGTAAAAAACAATGTGTGGTAAGGGATAGATGCTCAACAAATTTGTTGAATGAATGAATGACTGCATTCTAAATCTGGATCCCTGTCAGGACTCCTCTGGCACTAACATCACCACCATCACCACCACCATCATCATCATTATCGAGGTGATACAGGGCTTGGCATCTAGGTGGTGTTACCAAACTTACTTGGTCAAATGAAGCAGTTTCTCAAAGTTTTTAGGTTTATCTTTCCACTGCTAATTTTTTTCTTTAGGCAGTGCACTTGATTCACAAAATCACAACTGTTTTTGTCAAGTCTGACCGGTTATCATGTGAGCCATAACATGGGATGCGCAAACTCCGAGTGTCGAGTCAACACTTGGTAAGCGAGTGCCCTGGTGAGAGCTGGGCAGGGCTAAGACATGAACCATTCCCTAGAGGTGTTCAGGGGTTGGGTGGGGGCTCAGGCTAGGGTCCTGCAGCCTGTGTCTCGCTTCTTCTGGTGACCGCTGAGCTCTGCGGGGTATGTCCTAGGTCCTGCCAGTTCTTGGATCTCGGATATGAGGGACCCCCCAAACCCAGGTTCCTGAGCCGGGGATTTCTAAGGTACTAGTGTTGGGGGTTGGTGGCGCCCTCTGTTTCTCTCAGGGGGCTCTGAAACCAGTGATCTGCACCCAGCCTAAAGGCACACATAGGGAGCCTGAAAGTTGGCGATGAGCTGGGCGGTGCTCCCAGCTCGGGGAGGAGCCGAGCGCTGGGGAGGCGGGGCGAGGGAAGCCTGGGACCGGAGAGTCCCTCTGCTCTCTGCGCGGGTCTGCAGAGTCAGGACCCTGCCTTCGTCCCGAGGGAACCCTCGCATCCGCCCGCATTCAGTCGCGTCCCCGCGCGCCCCTATGGGACCCCGGACCCCCCGCGCCCTCTCGCCTGCGCTCAGTCTGTGCTCTCTGCTCCTTTGCGCGGGGCTGCCCCGGGGTAAGCGCTCCCGCGAGCTGGGGAGGGGGCGAGGTTCTCTTTCCCCAGCTCCAGGGGGGTGTGCGCTGGGGGGAGGTCGAGAGGAGGAAAGAGAGGCTGGCGGGGGCCGGAGGGAGGCAGAGGGACAGCAGGACAGCAGGGAGAGGGTCCTGACAAAAGGGGGCGGGGTGGCAGGAGGGAAGCGGGGAGGGTCACAAACTAGGTTTGGTGGCAAAAAACTAGGTGGGAAACTAGAGCGAACTGAGGGAGGGGGGAACTGGGAGAGAGGGACCCCTGGGCAAGAGACTCGGGGAGAAAGCTTCAAGGAAAGCATATGGAGCGCCCTCTCTCTTTGTGTATGTGTGTGCCTGTGTGTGTGTGTAAGAGAGAGAGACAGACAGATTCAGAGAGACAGAGAGATGGGCTGTGTGGCTTGTGAGAGTCGGGGCAGGGATGGCAGGAGGCGGGGACCCATGGTCCAACGAAGGAGGCATAGCCTGAGTGGACTGTGGCCCCTCTCGCAGCAGCAGCACCCACGCCCGGGGGCAATGCAGAGCCACAGCCTGAGCCTACCCAGGACCCCAGGTGTGTAAACTTGCTGCCGGCTGCCCCGCGCTCCCATCTCTACTCCTGGTCTGGGGGATCCCTGGGCTTTAGCACAGAGAGTGGGAGAGACCTGGGTGGGGGTTCACGGTCCCTTCCTACCCCCTCATCCATGCCAGGCTGGTTTCTCCTCCAGCCACAGACCTCAGGAGGAGACGGCTGCTGTCGAGGATGCTGGACTGGTGATAGGAGACCAGGTAAGGGGAGTCTGGGTAGATGCTGGGAAGGAGTATCTTCCTGTCTGTGTCTGGGGGTGCAGGGAGCAATGGGGGCACAAGAGCATTGCGGTCTAGGAGCTCTGCTGAAGGGAGAAGATGAGGTTCCTGCTGTGTAAAGTACACAGATTTCTGACACCCATGGATTCCCGCTGTCCTTGTTCTTGGGGCTGAACTGGCCATTTCTTTCTTTAAGTGTTTGTTTTTTAGGGTAAGCGCTGGGATTAGGAGGCAGCCGAGCTCTCCCCTGCCCCTAGTGAAAGTGAGAAGGTGAGGGGTGAGGAGAGTGGCACGAGGAGGGCTTGGGAGAAAGCTGTTAGGAGGGGTGAAGGGATGAGGAGAGATGTTAGGAGAGGTGAGGAGAGATGATAGGAGGGGTGAGGAGAGAGGTGTTAGGAGAGGCGAGGAGAGGTGTTGAGAGAGGTGTTAGGAGGGGTGAGGAGAAAGATCTTAGAGGTGAGGAGAGGCATCAAAAGGGGTGAGGAGACACATGTTAGGAAGGGTGAGGAGAGTTGTTAAGAGGGGTGAGGGGAGATGGTAGGAGGGGTGAAGAGAGATGATAGGAGGGGTGAGGAGAAAGGTGTTAGGAGGGGTGAGGAGAAAGCTCTTAGGGGCGAGGAGAGGCTTCAGGAGGGGTGAAGAGAGAGATGTTAGGAGGAGTGAGGAGAGATGCTTCAGGAGGGGTGGGGAGAGAGGTGTTCTCTTTGCTGGCCTGGTCTGTGCCTTCAACCTTGTCAGGCCTCTCTTGTCTGTCCTCTGAGCCTGTGTCCTAGAAATGCTGCCGTGAGGGAAAAAACAGAACTGGGCCACCTGGTGGGGTTTGCCAGAAGGAGGTTGAGCAACCGTCCTGACCACTGCCTAACCCTGCCCTCCTGGGGTCCTTGGGGCCAATGGGAGGGTGGTCTTGGAAATTTCCCTTTGTCCAGCTTCACTCATGATCAGGTGACACAGGGTCTCTGTCTAACCCGCCTGTCTTGGCCTACTTTCCACAGCCACAGGGATACCACAAACTCAGCCTCCCCTTCCTGCACCCAAGTCCCACTCTGGGGTGGGGGTGGAGCAGTTCTGTCCAGTTCCTTAGCAGGTTGGGGAGCAACACCAGTAATGGAAACAACATGCCCCAAATTTCTGTCCTTTGGAAATAGATATGAAAACTAAAGTAGTGGGGGCCAGGGGCTGGAGCGATAGCACAGCAGGTAGGGCATTTGTCTTGCACGTGGCCAACCCGGGTTTGATTCCCAGCATCCCATATGGTCCTCTGAGCACTGCCAGGAGTAATTCCTGAATGCTGAGCCAGGAGTAACCACTGTGCATCCCAGGTGTGACCCAAAAAGCAAACAAACAAACAAACAAACAAATACAAGCCAAAATAAAGTAGTGGGGCCTATACTTAGTCTGTGTTGTGGGGATTTAGGGAAGGAGGCGAGGGGGGCCTTCCAACCTGTGCACCAGGGACCACTCCTGGTGGTTCTTGGTCAGCCAGCATTGTGGTTCAAGGCACGGGCCCAACGTTGCGGTGCTTTCCAGGCTCTTCCATGCTGGGCCAGCAGGGCTACATCTAGCACTTCTCAGGGAACCGTGAGTGGTCAGGTGCATGAATTTTAGGATTGCACTATCTCCCTGGCCCATATTTAGGTTTTTCATTTATCACTCGCCCACTGCTCCAGACC